CACACGTAAGTGAACACACAAACAAATAGGTATTTACAAACAGACAGACGTAGAAAGAGGCGATCGTGCAACATAGACAGACTTACAAAGATGCCATTTCAGAAAAACATTATAATACAACCATGGACAGAAATGATGGCATTCAAACCCAGAATTAAACAAAACAGAAATAGACGGACTTACAAATAAATAAGTCCTGAGAGAGATAGCTCTGCAAACAAACAAAACAAAAATATAGAAACAATCAATCAAATCCAAACAGACTTCAATCATGCAACCCCCCAGACTTTGACAAGCATAGAAATATAGACAGGCCTACGAACAAACAAACTCCAGACAGAGACAACCATACAAACAAGGCAGGTCATGTGCAGTCTTGACCTTCCAACAGGTAAAGAAACACCTGAGCGAGTCGACGACCAGCACCTTTTCCGTCAAGGCTGACCTGGAGAAGATCCAGGGTCTCCTGCAGGTGGCTAAGGGTAAATGACTGCCTTGTTTTCCCTTTATCATCGTACTGTCAACATAATCATTTACACCCTCACCATCACTATCCTGATCATCTTTTTCAGCATGAGCATCACCGTCATTATTGTCGTCATCATTGTTGTCGTCCTTTTCATAGTTGTTGTCATTATCACAGTCACCAATGGCATTATCATCGTCGTTATGGCGTTATTTTCATTATCACAGTCATCATCATCATCATCGAAGTTGGCATTATTATCGTCGACATCATCTTTGCGCCAGGTTATGCGGGTGTTCAAAGGTACGAGCGTTCGGATCATCTTGCCGACACTGCAGTTGCTATGGCTGGTCCAGTACTGGGCAGAAGAGATGTTAGCAATGCCATGAGCAGCACTTACCATACCGGGGAGCACGCTAAAGGACATGACTCCGCATCCCTGTCTAGACTGATGGACACGGGGGTACATGGAGCTGCGAGAAATGAACATTTCGCTAAGAGGACTAGACATTTCAATAATCAACACAGAACAGGTGTCATTAGTCTTTTTACACTGTCACGAGACGACCTCAGTGGTTCCAGAAGTTAAGTACTCGTAATAAGTTCTTCTGGTTATTGAGAGAAAGAATTATATTTACTATGCCCTTTACCCTAATATTACTTTAAACCAAATTGATTTAAATGTTTCCAGTCCTTAGTCCAGACAAAGCGACTGAGCCTTGGGTAATATTACCTAAAACTTTACACTGTAGCTAGGAATTCTATTCTCATGTGTCAGTGCCATAAATGTTATCTCCTGACCAGTCTGTAAGGGCCAGCGAACTGGGAACTTAGTATCACACCTGAGATTAGCTTCCCTGAGCTGAACCGTAGGTCATAAAGGTTACCTAACACAGACTGAGTGGGGCTTCTTTGAACGACTAGATCAGGGGCATTAAGTGGACTGGTAGACATTGTGGCGACCAGGCTCTTGAGATTCACACGTCAGTGAAATTCTCGGGAGAACAGGTGTTTGCCAATTAGGAATGTTTGATCTTGGTCCAGTAGGAAACACAATGGCTTCACTGACCGTCTTTTCACACCTGCCAGTTAGATTCGTTGTAAACTAGATTGGGTCACTTAAGAATGTTTGCTCTAGGGATGTCAGTTCACCTTGAGTGATAGGCCACTTGTTAGCTAGGTTGATCTAATAGGTACCTCAGAGGCGTGGCTTAAATCATCGTTCTTNCCAACTCGCGTACGGGAAGCAAAAAACGGGTTTGATATACCTGGGAAATGGGCGGAGTAGACGCCTACAGACACAACAGCGTACACTAAATGTCTAAAGGGGAAAAGCTTGGTGTTTCTATCTGTGCCAAAGTCTCACTGCCAGACCAGGGTAGCATTACAGCGGAGGTTTTTTTTTTAACGGGGTGGGGGCTGCGGGCGGGGCGTCAAGGTACTGGAACCCAGGTCCTAGTATTTATGATGCTAGATTTGTATTTTCATAGCACAGAGCAATCGCCTTTACTTCCCGTGGTAGTTCTTGGTATCAATTTCACGCTGGTTTGAGCTAGGTGCTAATTTCAACTCTAAACAATTTCCTTCAATGCAGATTCGAACCCAAGACATCGTTACCGACAGGCTAGCGTCCAACCACGGCGTCATCGTGTTTCTAGCGTCTTTAATCACATTATATATCAATAAACATTTTTAAAAAGTTACTTCAGCCCCTGTTACCTCCTAGAACATTACCTGGTACCGATATTAGGTTGGCTCTATCTAGGAGTCATATATAAACTTTGAATTCAAATCCATTTCTTTTTAAATTCCTCCCCAATATGGGACGCAATTTTCTTTTTGGTTATTTCAAAGCCCTATCGCGGTTGTTGTAGGCGATCCCAATGTAACCCGAATGGCACTTGTTCCCGGGGGATTCTCATCCCAATAGTGGTAATTTGTTTCACCGCGTTTGTATCGCTCGTTGTACGATCCTGGTTGAGTTGAACGTCACTCACTCACTCCATTTTTGAACTGAATTATATGCAGGATGCAGACCAACAAGCCAAATTGGCATGTACGTACAGTTACAAGATCTACAGCGACATTCTGGGTCCCAGCAGCGATTCCTCCTTGGATGTTTTAGTTTTGTACATCGTCTGCTGCATCAAACTACACCAGTGCCCAGAGGCTGAGGCTTGTGTAGCTGAGGTAGGAATGCATCTCCTTCTCCTTATTCTTCTTCTTCTTCTTCTTCTTCTTCAGGCCTTTTACGACATGCTTTGTTACTGGACAGCAGGTTCTGGAACCCACACGCGGACGAAAGTAACTAACTGTTTATAAGCTCCATAGGAAAACGCAAAGGGTGAAATTGATCATTTTGCATGTTGGGGCAATATAACATGATAGTATTATTATTTCGTATTTAAACAAAGCTAGCACTCCTTGAAACACCCCTCCTAAAAATGTATAAATGTGTTAACCCTCCCCATATCCAGAAAAAAAATATTTAAGTATTTGTCTGTCTATTTTATATTATTTATAATATGTTTTTATATTTCTTTTCTTTTTATAGTGCTATGGTGTTCACGTATAGCCACGGCCTTCTGTCTGAAAGTATTTTTTAATAAGTTCTGACACATATAATCTTCTATGCCATGATATCAAACTTTCCAGCAATCAAATAAATACAAAATACAGACAGACGTTTAAACAATTGCACACGATAGTGAACACACAAACAAATTGGTATTTACAAACAGACAGACGTAGAAAGAGGCGATCATGCAACATAGACAGACTTACAAAGATGCCAGTTCAGAAAAACATTATAACACAACCATGGACAGAAATGATGGCATTCAAACCCAGAATTAAACAAAACAGATATAGACGGACTTACAAAAAAATAAGTCCTGAGAGAGATAGCTCTGCAAACAAACAAAACAAAAATATAGAAACAATCAATCAAATCAAAACAGACTTCAATCATGCAACCCCCAGACTTTGACAAGCATAGAAATATAGACAGGCCTACGAACAAACAAACTCCAGACAGAGACAACCATACAAACAAGGCAGGTCATGTGCAGTCTTGACCTTCCAACAGGTAAAGAAACACCTGAGCGAGTCGACGACCAGCACCTTTTCCGTCAAGGCTGACCTGGAGAAGATCCAGGGTCTCCTGCAGGTGGCTAAGGGTAAATGACTTCCTTGTTTTCCCTTTATCATCGTAACTGTCATCATATTCATTTACACCCTCACCATCACTATCCTGATCATCTTTATCAGTATGAGCATCACTATCATTATTGTCGTCATCATTGTTGTCGTCCTTTTCATAGTTGTTGTCATTATCACAGTCAGCAATGGCATTATCATCGTCGTCATAGAGTCATTGTCATTATCACAGTCATCATCATCATCGTAGTTGGCATTATTATCGTCGACATCATCTTTGCGCCAGTTTATGCGGGTGTTCAAGGGTACGAGCGTTCAGATCATCTTGCCGACACTGCGGTTGCTATGGCCGGTCCAGTACTGGGCAGAAGAGATGTTAGCAATGCCATGAGCAGCACTTACCGTACCGAGGAGCACGCCAAAGGACATGACTCCGCATCCCTGTCTAGACTGATGGACATGGGGGTACATTCTGGAGCTGCGAGAAATGAACATTTCGCTAAGAGGACTAGACATTTCAATAATCAACATAGAACAGGCGTCATTTGTCTTTTTACACTTATGGAGCTACTGGGGAGGAGATCGGAGCACCTATGGATCTGTCTGGAGTGCTGTCTAATATTCCTTATTAATCACTAACCGTTATCGTTATCGCCATAATCACCATCATCATCTCAGGTAATCAGGTAACTACAGATCCAGCTTCGTGACAAGCTCAGCTGCTTGTTCAGTTTGTGTGCCAACGAAAGCCATACAGAATGTACATCACCACTTGTAATATTTACAGCTGGTTCCCAGTTTAAACCAGCTTTAACGGGTACCCGGAAATGTCCTGTAAAGGCTGCTAGTATTATGCTCGCGAAACAAACATCCGCTCGCCTGCGGATTCGAAGGTCGTGAGTTTAAATACGCATGGAGCAGGATGTTGACTTTTTTGTTTCCTAGACATCACTTTGGTTCCTAGGTCGACCCAGCCTTAAACGGGTAGCAAGTAAAATCCCGGGAAGTAAAGGTGGTCAGAGTAACATTGACTGTATTTGTTATTGGTCTATATAGAAAATATGAGTCTGGCCTCACATGTTCAATATACCATTATTGTGTAAAGAGAGCTTTGACAATGTAAATCTAGTCTTCTACTGTCCTCAGGAAATGCCATGGAGGCTTTGTCCCATTTCACCAAAGAGGTCTATTTCGCGGCCTACGCTTACGGGAAGAAACATGTGCTAGCCACTGGCAGTTTGACTCGCCTGGGCAGTTCTTTTCTACAGATGGGCAAGCCCAGTGTGGCCGACTCGCTGTACAGGTTAGCAATTATCAACTTTGGGTAAACTCTGAGCTGTAAGTGTCGACATCGTGTTTGCTTCTCTAGTTTGTTTCTGGAATTCTTTGTCTTCTTTTGTCGGTTGTTCACTTAGAAACAATCTGTGACCTGTTTGTTTTTGTTTTTCTTCAAGTTATTTATTTATTGTTCAATTATTTTTCTAGCGGGAAGAGGGAAAAGAACCACACACAAAAAGTAGGTAGATGAGGAAGAAGAAATAAGGCTATGACAAATTGTAGTAGTTTCCTGCCGAACAGCAAAAACAGGTAAAGTACAGAAAAGACAAGGGTTCTGTGCAGGGAGCCATAATATTTCATCATAGCCCTAGCGATAATTATGTGAATTACACAACTACAACAAAATATGACTATACACACCTAGACGAAACACGTGCACGAACTACAGATTATAATCTGAAACAAGCAAATGAATTATAATCATCACATTGAACATCTGTTTATTTTACTGCACACAAAGCTAACGCTTCACAGATAACAATATATTAACCGCCGACTCCTTGTCCTCACACACACACATGTGCTAAGCACTTTATCTAGCAAAGATACAAATTCGCTTCTAGCCACTTAATATCAAATATTTCCGAGCGATGATGCACACTGATATCTATATATCTACCGCAGTTTAACCACTGAAAGAAATTTAAATCTAATTATGGAAACGAAATACCACGAGATATGAGAGCCAATCCGTCTTTCAGGCCGGTCAGGAGCGGCGTTTTTTTTTTTTTTTTTTTAGGTTTTAAATTAATTTAATTGAATGTTAAAATGGGTCTGTGTACAATGCTGCGTGGTTTCTGTTTTGTACGTATTTTATTTACAGGCGTCTGCGATGTACGTATTTTGTAGTGTTCTTTACATATGTTGCCATGTGTTTAGTATTGTGTTGCAGGTGTGTGCGTCCTTTTAATATTTATACATTAATACATAGGGAGATTTACTGAGAAATCAGTTGGTTTAGTGTTAGAGTTAAGAGTTTGAAATGTGCCTTTTGATGCACATTAGGAGCGGCGTTTTGACCACGTACGGTCACGCAACGACAGAGCGAATGATCAACGACCAAGAGGCATTCTCGCGCTCATAGGGGCTCTTTATAGACTTCGTGAACATGCCAGATTTTTCTCGTAAGTGCAACTCACCAGTTAAATTATAAACGGCTTTTGGAGTTCTGCTCATTATTTTTTTTTTCTTGTTTTCTTCTACTTCTCCCCCCCCCCCTTTCCCCCCCCCCATTTTCCCTCTTCCTCGTCCTGCTGCTACTACTACTACTACTACTACTACTACTACTACTACTACTAATACTACTACTACTACTACTACTATTACTACTACTACTACTACTACTACTACTACTACTACTACTACTACTACTACTACTACTACTACTACTACTACTACTACTACTTATTCTTCTTTTTCTGCATTCCGAGCCCTTGCCCTTGAGGTTCATTACTGCAGCTATCACTTGCCTCCACTCATCTCTCTGTTTGGCTTTCTCATTCCAATTGGTAAACCCAAATGTTTGTAGGTCTCTCTGGACGTTATCTCTCCATCGTCTTCTTTGTCTGCCTGGTGGTCTACGACCATGCATCTACTGCTGCTGCTGCTGCTGCTACTACTACTACTACTACTACTACTACTACTACTACTACTACTACTACTTGACTAATGCGCGCAACTCTGTCTGACAGGAAGGCGGTGGAGGCTTGGGTTCAGTACCTGGAGAAAAAGGTCTTTGAGCACGAGACAATGGAAATGCAGTCACGGTTCGTTGACGTGGTCCACCTGAAAACAGAAGCCATGGAGCTCAAAGTGAAACTGGAAGCCAAGGACACCCTGACAGGTAAAAAGTCTGGTCTGAGTTTTATCATTTTAAACTATGGTCTGGAGTTTGAATTCCCTTCGGGTCTGATATTTATAATATTTACAGCTATTTCCCAGTTTAACCCACTTTTAATGAAACCCATAAATGACCTGTAATGTAAAGGTTGCTAGTATGATGTTGACATAACATAGGGAAATAAGAAAGAAAAGAAAATTGGAAAGTTAGTTATTTAGTTAGTCAACAGATTCTCCTCATTGCACGTCGAATCATTCAGTCCATAAGTGCTCGGATCCCATCCTTAGTAAATCCTGCAGCGTGTAGCGGCTAACGACACCAGTTCTGTGTTGGTTTTTTATTCTTCTTTGGCTATCCACGTAGTGTTCTTGTCTGGCGACACCTTGTTTAACCTGCTGTTCTTTCAGTCTGACCATGGTTGCAAATTCACAGTTCTCAGGTTGATTGACGCAAACGTCTTGAATCCCGTATAACATTCAGTACATCAGTCTGATCCATGGCTTGTCCGACTATCACAGTAGCCTTACATGCAAGTCTATTAGTTTGGTCATTTCCTTGTGCCCCTTGTACTATTGGCAAGTAGTTGTAGAAGATGCGAAAAGACAAAAACATGACCTTCTGACCCCAAGACAGGGAATGGAGAAAAGAAAATGTGAGAACTTGCTAGACTTCGACCCTAGCGAATGTTCAGCAGCACTAGGTAGAATGTTCTACTAAAGACACGAGAACTAATGCTCACTAAAACTACTGCACCAGCAATGACAAGCTAATTCAACCACTTGACAGATAAGTCATTTAAAGCACATAAACTTTTATTGATTAAGTACTCGGGTATGCAAACTAGACTGTAAGACTATGCAATACAAGAACAATATAATGCAACTGAATATGACTCAGCTATAAGGTTCTCTTGCGGCGTCCGAGGCTTGGGCGTTGCAAGTTCGACTCGTAATTCCAACGTTCCGCGATGGAAACCCACTGCTGGCTGAGTAGATTTTGTATCATGGTATGATGTATGTCCTGGGAAAGTAGAGACTTCGGGCGCAATATTGACCACATTACCCACCAAAGGCTTTACTTCATTAGGTTCTCTTAAACCAAAAAGAAACACCAAGCAAATAATAAACCTGTCAAAACCGAATTTCCCCAAGCACTAGCAGTAATAATCGACTCTGTGGCTAAGTCGATGCGAACGCTTTGTAATGCCGGGTTGCCGGGTTCAATCCCAGCTGCCGGTCATGCGCCTTGCGTTGGTTTCGACAGTATCAAAGAAGCCGACCGTCCAGCAGCAATGGCAAACTACTGGACGTAAATTTGCCTACAAAAACCACACAACAGCCAGCGCGCTGTTGAGGCTGGTTCTGCAAAGTCCTGTAAATGATACGCAACTAACCTAGCATTAATACGGGCAAAAACTCGTGCAGTATTAAACCAGCCAATAAGTGGTGCTATTCTACATATTTTAATTATGACAAATGCAAGGCCATCTTGGAAAAACACACAAACAAAAAATAAACCCAAAATACTTTTACAATAGTCAGCTCTCCTAAGAACAAAGGCAAAAATACTTAATATTCCGACTATTCATAAATATATTTCAATCATAAAAGCCGGCAAGAGGACGAAAATGGCTGTTTACCGTTCTACCTATGTACCAGTCCTGACCTATGAGTGTGAGTCATGGGCAATTGACAACAGTTCACAGAAGTCAGCTGCAGGCCTCAGAAATGAGATATCTGAGAAAGGTGGTCTAAGTGACAAGAAAGGACAAAGTCCACAATCAGACAATCCGTCAATATCTTGATACCCAGTCCTTACTAACCCGAGTGGATCAGTCACAGTTACGATGGTTTGGACATGTATGCAGAATGGGAGAAAATCGGCCACCATGGCAGGCATGGGAGGCTAAGAACCAGGGAACCAGACCTCCAGGGCGACCCAAGGTGCGCTGGGTAAACAACATCCGACAGACCCTGACTGACAGAGGACTGGAATGGAACAAAGCCAGAAAGAAATCTGCTGATAGAGACGTCAGGCGATCTCTCTGGCAAACCTCTACACCCCAGAGTAGAAGAGGAGCGACTAAGTAAGTGATGTCATAAAAGCCGGACATTAAGCTAAATGTGTCATTAATATTACTTCTACCTATATATACTATACATTTTGTTTTCAGTTTGAAAAAAATATATGTAAGCACATTTTAAGTTAGGTTGCCCTTTTTTTACCGAGGCCGATTTCTGAAGCAAAGCATTATTATAACCAAGCATGAATGTCGTAAAACAAACAGATAGACAGACTTACACACAGACAAACATACACAGACAGACAGACATGCAAGCAAACTGACTACAAACACTTTGAGAGGCATGTACGTAAGTAGAAAGAAAGATTGACCAACTGATTAACTGACAGATGGGCAGGTTGATTTTTTGGTTTTGATTTGTTAGTTGGTTGATTGATTCACTGGTTGATTGATTGAATGATTGATCAGTTGATCGGTTGATTGATTGATTGATGTTTAGTAGATTATGCAGTGGGTGAATGAATTGAGAGATTTGTGAACATATGTATGACTGCATTGGTGGGTAGGAAAGAAAGTTACAAAATGACTTCAGCCTTGTTGAAGTGTAAAAGGATAATAATAATAATAATAATAATAATAATAATAATAATAACTATTATTAATAATTACGGTAACTATGTGCCGAGTGACAAAAATACAGTAAAATGTTTGAAAGCATATGAAATGTGTAAACAAATACCTACAGAAGATAACTTCTATACATTGCCCGGATGGGATGTGGGGGGACTTAATGCTCTTTTAACACTCATAGGAAAGGGGGGGGGGGGGCTTGATCTAATTCTTAAATTATTGGGGAGCCTCATCCACCCCTCCCCCATCCACGATATCCCCTGTTTAAAAAAAAACTTTGGAAAAAAAAAGGGGGGGGGGGTTTCTACGGTGTTTGAGCCGCCAGGTTACGATGCCCGTGCGTGGATAAGGGTATTTCAATGTGGGTGTCTGGTGACGATCATACAAACAGAAGGATGTCAATATTAATAATTCATTACTTGCAGCTGTCAGACGCACACCAGGGGCGAGTAATTTGATAAACTTTCATGAGAGAATAATGTGAAGGAGAGAGATAAAGAGAGGAAGATAGAGAGAGCAAGTATGATAGAGACGACGACAGCCATAGCGCACGTGAGAGTGAGAGATGAGGAGAGTGGTGCATAGAGTGAAAGAGTTAGCAAGAAAAGAGAGCTTTAGCGAGAAAGTATGACAGAGTCAACGTGATTCTGTTAGAAATAATAATGACTTCTATAAGAATGCAAAAGAACTACTAACGTATCAAAGACATAAATAGACAGCGAACACTTTAGGTCAAAGAATCAGTAAAAGCAAAGTAAAGGACCCTTTCCCACGCCTTCATGTGTATTGGGTACATAGGGCTGGACCAATCGGCACTCGCTGAGCGATGTGGTCAGCATCACGCATGTCGTCTTTACGTACCATGACGTTTACCTTGAACTCATTTAAGACTGGGTCTACCAGGATTTGAACCCACGACCTTCGGGTCTGCAGGCGAACGTCTAGCCACTACATCACAGAGGCTCCCTATATACAATACCCAACTGATTGGCCCTAATAGCAATTATTAGACTGAAGTACACTCATTATCATCATCATGTGTCATGTCGATAAGCCAAGACTGTCATGTTTCGCCATCTCATAAAATCACCAGAATCACGGATTAGGTCATTGCTCTTGTCTCACACCGTCCCATACGTCTAAGCCATTCTGGGATTTTTCTGATCTGTTCTGGGAAGTAAAGCCAGCTTGTGTGGTACTGACCACGTTCATGGAGTATCGAATGGTCAATCAATCAATCAGCATGTCCGATACAGAACGTCGCTTTTTTTACGGCTTGCATGAAAGTCTGTTTTTCTCTTGTCAGTTCTTCCGCCTCTTTAAACAAATGACCGATAGAATCATTGTGAGGCTTCACCAAACATTTCACACACATCTCCATGACATGATTAACCAGTTCTTATTGCGGGAGGACAACTATAACACCACTATGGTCACAAGCGGAATATTTTCACATTTCAGATCTATCGCAACCCAAAAACTGTTTTCAGTAATTTTTGGCAAAATAAAATACTCACAATTTTAAAACTTTAAATGGTGGTCCAAAGGACATTATGTTGAGAAGCTCGCTCTCCTACGATACATGACTGCCCAAATCAGAAGGAGCTGAAACAAGGGAAGAAACGGAAATAAAAGTGCAAGAAGAACACAGTTGACAACAGGATAGCGAATAAGCGGTCTGACTTGGAGAAAAGCAGCATTAAGCCCAGAGACGGTGCAAATACCAGAACTTTAGCCATGAAAGGCGCAAATAAACAAGACCACAAATATAGCCGGAGATTGTTGGCATCTGCGGCTAGCTAGCAGCAGGTTGAACGTGGTTGAGGTTTTGATTTAATTTTTTTTTTTTCTTAACAGAAATTGGAATTGGAATCCCGCCCTTTTGATTTTAGGTCAGTACATCTTCAGTGTCCTGTATCCGCCTTTGCACGATGGTCAGTAGGCGCAATATGACTAAAATATTTAAAGTGAAAATTAGTCTTTCTCCTTCTTCTTCTTCTTCTTCTTCTTCTTCTTCTTTCTTCTTCTTCTTCTTCTTCTTCTTCTTCTTCTTCTTCTTCTTCTTCTTCTTCTTTTTCTTCTTCTCTTTCGCCTTCTTCTTTGCATCTTTGACCTGTTTCCTGTGTGGAGGAAGATATAAGTATGTTTTTTGCCCTTCAGCCAGCCTTCACCATAGACACATTGTACTGCTGAAAATGTCCATGAAGTTATCTTTCCGTATTGTTTTTAGTCTGCCTCGTGATCTACGTCCTTCTTTTTTAATGCATGCCTTGTATGGTATGGCATTGGCAAGGCATTCTAACTGGGCAAACAATAATGTTTGCTGTCTTAGTATATTCCGAATTTCCTCAAACAGAAGGCGCACTTACTTTCCAAAATGGATAGAGCCTAAAAACAGTGTCCTTCTTATACAAAAGTAGTAGTTTTTTTTTTTTTTATGTGATCATTACTATATATTTTTTTAATCCAAATTTGCGGTCACAAAATCAATAAACCTCTAATGTATGAGATCGTCTTACACTTGGGGAAATACGTAATTTGCTGCTGGGCATGTGCCGATGTTTCTGTCATGATTTCATTCCCAGTTTTATTGTTTGCCATTTATAATCAGCAATCTACAAAGACCGGAGGTTTGCCAAAGTCCAAACAATGCGGAACAACATGGCCATGACCTGTTATGCCAACGGCATGTTTGCCTACGTGTCTGAGAGATACATCCAGGTAAGATGTCACCTGTGGTCTGATCATTGCTGTTGCATTCGGTATTGTCACAGTGAGGGACGCTGCCACATAGAAATAATTGCTGCAAAGGGGCAAATTTTTTATATAAAAATAATTTCGGTGGCAAATAAATGTAATATTAAATCTGTAGTACTATTAAATGCGCTAACAAATATTTAACAAGATAACCAAAAGGTAAAGGTAAAGTCGGGAGATGTGAACCAGCGTCATTGCACACAGTTGTAAACCATAAGTGCTCTGCCACCAGTACGGGCAGATGATAAGAAACTGTCCGCCTGTGTCACCGTCTGCACGCAACTCTGTAACTACAGCGACGTACCTCCATTTACCCCAGAGTAAACGCGTGTACCCATTTCCTAGAGGCTGGGTGAACCCCGGAACAGCCCAAACACCTGCCGTGGGCTGCAGCGAGTCGCAACTGGATTTGAAAGCGAGTCTCCTATCGCCTAGCGCTAATAAGAGAACCATATACGTATATGCTTGCGGGTGGGTGGAGCACTTATCTTCCTTGCATATTTTCTTAGGGAGTTCAGTCCCCTCCCCCTCTCCCTGGGCCTCATATTATTCAGATAAGATAGGGTACATACTGAGCTCCTAGGCACTCTCCCCCCCCCCCTTTTTTTTTCCCCTCTTTTTTCGGCATCCCCATCGTCGTCGTTTTCATCGTCATCGTAGTTGGTAGGTAGCCTTCTTGTCTATGATATGATTGTTACAATCATCATTATCACAAACAGTCGTTCTTCTTCATCTCAGCGTTGCCATCGCCCTCACACCTGCCATGGAAGTAACGGCTGCCTCTAAAACACCCGCTTGGGCAGCAGACCAAGCAGCCACACATGTGATTCCCCGAACATGCTTCAGAAAATTGCGACAGGCAGCATCCCCTCTGAATGGGTAGACAACATTAGGAGGTGGAACTTTCTCTCTCTCTCTCTCTCTCTCTCTCTCTCTCTCTCTCTCTCTCTCTCTCTCTCTCTCTCTCTCTCTCTCTCTCTCTCTCTCTCTCTCCTCTCAAGATTCTTCACACTTGGGAACTTGGGAATAACTGGTAATAAGCGTGAGGTCTTGTGCGATGAGGATAGCTGACTGATTAACTAATTAACTAACAACGGGATAATAAACGAACGGACCAGCTGGCAAGTATGGACATAACCACTATGATAAATTCTGGACAGACTAGACTGGTGGTGGAAAAAGACAAGTCTCAAGCGCTAAACCGATTACGTACCTGGGAGTAAATCCTGATGTTGCCCGCCTATGCCGTATTCTAGGTACAGTTAGGAGATATTTTAATCAGTGTCATATGGGAGCAATCATCAGAGGCACCTTAGCATGGTTGCTGCATCAGAGGAATAAGCACGCATGGGAATGCCCAAGGTGCAATGCCTTCGGTGGGGGTAAAACACCACTATCACTTGTTGTTGTTGTTGTTGTTGTTGTTGTACTTCTTCTTCTTCTTCTTCTTCTTCTTCTTCTTCTTCTTCTTCTTCTTCTTCTTCTTATTATTATTATTATTATTATTATTATTATTATTATTATTATTATTATTATTATTATTATTTCTTTCTTTCTTTCGTTCTTTCTTAATTTCTTTTTCTCCAACTACTACTACTACTACTACTACTACTACTACTACTACTACTACTACTACTACTACTACTACTACTACTACTACTACTACTACTACTACTACTACTACTACTACTACTACTACTACTCCTACTACTACTACTACTACTACTACTACTACTACTACTTCTGCTACTACTACTACTACTGCTACTACTACTACTACTACTGCTACTACTTATCATCATCATCATCATCATGTAGCAGGTCTTTTGCAGAACGTCGCTCTCATCACAGTCTGCCTGAAAGAAACTCGGTCTCTCGCCAGGTCTCTCGCCTCATGAACTTTCACACTCAAGGAGTCACTTATATCCGGTGCCCATCTTCGTGTCGGTCGGTTCCTGCCCCTCCTTCCTAGTACCATGCCTTCTGCTATTATTTTTTCCAATCTGTAGTGGTGCTTGATATAACCAAAATATTTCAGCTTTCGAGAAAGGATGCTGTTTATTACCCAATCTTCCTTGATGTTCAGATGTTTTAAGATGTCAATATTTCTCATCTTCTTTGTCCAAGATATAATGTGAATCTTTCTATAGCATTTCAGCTCAAACGCCCCTATTCTCTTTCTTAAGGACTGAGAGACAGTCCACGACTAATACTACTACTACTACTAATACCACTACTACTACTACTACTACTACTACTACTACTACTACTACTACTACTACTACTACTACTACTACTACTATTACTACTACTACTACTACTAGTAGTAGTGCTAATTCTACTACTATTACTATTACTACTACTATAATTACTACTACTACTGCTACTACTACTAATACAACTATTATTATTACTACTACTACTACTACTACTACTACTACTACTACTACTACTACTACTACTACTACTACTACTACTACTACTACTACTACTACTACTACTGCTGCTGCTGCTACTACTACTACAAGTGCTACTACTATTGCTACTACTATTGCTGCTACTACTACTGTTTATTTGTATTATTATTGTTACGACGGTTGCTGCTACTACTACTATTTATTTGTATTACTATTGTTAGGACTATTACTGCTGTTACTACTACCTTCTTTTTGTAATGTTACTGTTTCGTGCTTCCTGCTTATTTCTCTTTCTTTCTCTGCTTTTCCCCATTCTTCTGCTGCTGCTATCAAGAGTTCTCAAACAGTGTTTTGACCCACCAGTCACGGCAATGGGTCTTCTGGCTGAATATTTTCTGTAATTACAACAGGCTTAGCAAGTCGGCAGCATAAACTTATTTCTCATTGTAGCAAAAACAGTAATTATGATGATAATAATGATGATGATGATGATAGTAACTACACAGATACATACGATGAATTGATAGCATTGATTCCCCAGGCATACCACTTCGTGAACGAAGCGCTGCTATACTGCAAGAAAGACTCCTGGGTCAACCTGACCGTGGCCGTTACAAACTTCTACAAGCTCTGCAAGAGGAAAGGAGCACGAGACGTTAGGTCGTTCCTGGTCATGGATAGCAACCCTTAGAGCAGAGGTCCGTGTGGGGCCCTCACTCCACTCTCGTGTGAAGAAACAGAAACATGTGTATGGGAACATTCACATCAATGTGTCATTTAAATCATCAACTAGGTCATAGTTAGACTGGATGTGTTGGTGTAAGTTGTAATGTGCAATAAAGAAACTGAACTTTAGGGTCTGTGTGGTTATGTGAGAAAGGGTCTTTTTGTGTTGTGAAATATATGTTTCGAATCTGCTGTAGTAATTTATGCTGCAAACCAGGGGTCGGAAAAAGAGGGGGCGGGGAGGGATACATAGAAATGAAGGCAGGCAGACACAGACACACAAAAGACAGAGAAGGCAACGAGAGAGTGACGTTAAAAAGATGCGAAGGACATAGCGTGGGCTACATGCCATATCTACTACCTGACCTGAGTTGACTGAGGGTCAGTAATAGCAGCAGCAGTATTAGTGACAGCAGTAGTAGTATTAGTGGTAGCAGTAGTAGTAGTAGTAGTAGTAGTAGCTGGAATAGAAGTAACGGCAGCAGTAGTAGCAATAGCAGTCGTATTAATAATTGTGGTGTGATGGTGGTGGTTATATCAACAGTGTAGTAGTAGTAGTAATGTTAACGGTAGCAGCAGTTGTTGTTGTAGTAGTAGTAGTAGTAGTATTAGTAGTAGTAGTAGTAGTAGTAGTAGTAGTAGTAGTAGTAGTAGTAGTAGTAGTAGTAGTAGTAGTAGTAGTAGTAGTAGTAGTAGTGATGGTGATAATAGTAACAGCAGCAGTAATATGAGCAGCAGTTAAAGTAGTGATAGAAGTAGTAGTGGTTGTCGTTTTTGTTGTTGTTACCGTGGTGGTGGTGGCGGTGGTGGTTTTGGTAACAGCAGTAGTGACAATTGTTATGGCGGTGGTGTTTGCAGCTGTCGATTTTACGAGCAAGAGTGTCGACGATAGGTAGAAGGGATGTAATTCTATCTGCTAGTGGATGTTAATATACAGTATTTTGTTATGTCCCTTAAATTCCGAGCCAAGATAAATCAAAAGTCACCCAATACATCACATCAGCGACCGGATCGTCCATTGGCTCGCCGGTGGACGGCTTCGTCGCCGGTCAAGACAGTATTTAGGTCTGTCTCCTTTGATCGCATTAACGCTGCATTAGTCCTTTTCAGTGCTCTTGGTGGCATGTAACACTAAATGCCAATTTATATAGTGCATATAACCTAGTCATATAATTATAATCAAAAGCTCCCACTTCCGAGATTCTGGTTTATCCATTTTCGTCCTTATTAGGACGAAATTTTTTGTCATTTGAAGCCCTACCCTGGCTTTTGCCAGGGGCCGCAATAAAGGCAGGCCATTCATATGGCCAAATGTCTGAACGCGGTTTCTAGGACCTCTCCACGGCGATCCTCATCCGCATGGTGGCACTTTGTGTCATCGGGTGTTTATCGCTTGTGTGATGTCCTGGTGGGGTAGAAAGTCAGTCAGTCAGATTTTGGTTGAACGTGACGATATATTCCCCCAGGGAAGCACCGACCTAGCTACACCCGGTACATGTTGCTTTAGTAGACATGTCATGTTTCTCCACGTAAACAGTTTTAGTATTATGAAATGAAGCATCCAATTGTTTTCCTAGCAACGAAACAAATGGTCCATAGGCAATGATCACTATAACAACTCTTATGGGCATTGTTGGCTAGTTCTTTTCATATTTTGAGCCATTCTGGTTAGTTGCTGCAGATATCACTGGTCTAGCAAAAAGACGAAAACCCCATAAGGCAATAAAAGGAGCACTGAGCAGGGGTGTTGGAACCTGGAAGCTCAGGACTTGATGATTGAACAGGATATTATGTTTCTGAAATGTACTACGACTGTTCAGTTAACCACCCAGTCAGGTACCGCCTGCACAATGAAGGATGCTGCAACTGTTCTCCAGCATACTCTGTCTTTTGCCTTGGATGTATGCTCTCTTAAACTGTTATTCTGCCATCTCTTGATGTTATCCTCACATTTGTATCACTGTCTGCTTCTTGCTCGCTTGCCTTCAATTTTTGCATCCGGTATTTTTTATTGTTTACCATGGCCGAAATATTTCACTTGTCAATTTTTTATTATTATTTTTTTATTTAGCAACTATATTTTTATTCCAAGTCTCTTCAGTCCCTCAGTGTTATACATACACATTTTTTGCAATCCTGAAATGCGACCTATTCTCCGAAGGCACAGTACAATTGTCTACGTGATCACTACAACAACAACAACAACAACTACTACTACTACTACTGCTGCTCCTACTACTAATAGTAGTACCACTACCACAACTGCTACCAGAGCTTTTTCCCCTGGCTGTACCCAACAGTACGTAGTCATCGTTGTATAGCAGATCCGTTGCAGAACTTCGCTCCTATAGTATTATGATATAAAATAACAATCTCCTTAGTCAGCTCTTCCGACTCATAAACTGTAATGCCCAGTTTTTAGTGTACTAGGGTGGAGAAGCCCTAAGTACCAAGATAGAAAATACAGGAAAATAGTTCGTTAGGTGGGGACTAGAAACAAGAATATTCTAGTCCAGGCACGAGATCTTCTGTGTAAAGTCTAATAAGCCAGGTAACAAATAAACAAACTACACACACTAACCACAAATCCTAATCTGAAGCAAAGCAACTGGAACTATAATTATCAAATTCACATCTATTTATTTCACTGAACATCATCTAAGGTCTTCACAAATAATAATGCATTAAAATTCACAACGTGCTCGAAAATACCCTACAATAGATGGAACCTATCTTTCTCTCTACACACCTCAACCCACGTTGCGTAAAATCATTGAACGCAACGGACAAATCAGAACTACATGTTTCTCGTCCTAAAACCAGTGAGCCTAACTAAGAGAGCGAAAATGGTCACTCCTGTCTGTTTTATCACTTCCTGACCCCCCAAGTTGGCCAGGTTTTTAGCTCGCTTAAATAAGCCTAATTCAATTTATAAAACGGTCGTCCAGCGGCTGTTTCATTAGACTGAAGGGCCCACTCATTATTAATTTATTATCAACATGTGTCATGTCGATAAACGAAGGCTGTCATGTTTCGCCATCTCAAACAATAACTAGAATCACGGATTAGGTCATTGCTCTTGTCTCACACCGTCCCATACGGTTAAGCCATTCAGGAATTTCTCTGATCTGTTCTGGGAAGTAAAGCCAGCTGGCGTGGTACTGACCAAATTCATAGAGTATCGAAAGGTCAATCAATCAATCAGCATGTACGTTATAGAACGTCGCTTTCTTTACCGTTCGCATTAAAGTCTGTTTTTCTCTAGCCAGTTCTCCCGCCCTTTTGATTTTAGGTCAATACATCTTCAATGTCCTGTACCCGCCTCTGCGCGAGGTCGATCGAATGGTCAGTAAATATAATATGGCGCTAGCGCAATATGACAAAAATATTTAGAGTGAAAATTAGTCTGTCACCTTCTTCTTCTACTTCCTCTTGTGTCCTGTACCCACCTTCGTGCTGGTCGGCCCCTGCATCTTTTACTCCGTACCATGCACATGTTATTGTTTTTGCCAGTCCACTGTGACATTTCATTTGAGCAACATATTTCATTGATCCGAGTGAAAATGATGTTTAGGATCCAATTTTCGGTAATGTTAAGATCTTTTAGGGTGTCAGTATTTTATTATCCACCTTGGTCCATGATATTTCGGTACTCAGTACTGGCATCCTTTTAGGCATCAATTTTTTCCCCCATCGTTACTGTAATAGACAGACACGTTGCATCTTTTTGCAGAGGGAAAAACTACTACCACTATTACAACCACCACCACCACTACCACCACCACTACTACTTAAACTGCTGCAACTAGGACAAGGTAGCTGGACTGTGTTGTGACAGCAGAAAAGGTAGAGAGGAAGAGAATTCATGAGAGAGGTAAGATGTTTAACAGTTTGGAAACATGGTACAGAAAAATGTCTACATGAAAAAAAAAATATTAGCAACAGGTGCATCTGAAAAGAAAGAAAACTTGGGGGGGGGGGGAGGGGGAGGGCTCAACAATTATAAGCCATAATATTCACTAAGCAAAACTGTTTATATAGTAATATATAAAGGCAGAATGTCAGACCCTTTTGAAAAAACATCTGGTTTAAAGCAAGGTGATGCTCTGTCCCCACTTCTTTTCAACTTGGCCCTGGAGAAAATTATAATGAAATTGAAACAAGAGTGTACTAAAGGAGAAACTACAAGAATACTTGGATATGCTGAGACATTGATATCGTTGGAGAAAATGAACTAGAGACTGTTAAAACACTGAATGTCTCAAAAGAATCAGATCAGAAAATGGGACTAGTTATCAATCAAGATAAGACAGAATACATGATAATAACTAGACAGGGGAAGGATATAAACTCTGGCCACATAAAAGTCGATAATACGAAAATCAAACGAACGGAAACGTATAGGTACTTGGGTGCACACTTCAACTGCTCCAACATGCTGAGAGAAGAAATACAATGTAAAAAAACAATCTGTAAATAAAGTACACTATGTTCTTTAACAGATGCTAAAGTCAAAGTGTCTGTCTCGCAACACCAAGATGAAAATATATAAAACGTTGATAAGACCAGTCGTGTTATATGGCTCTGAAACTTGGAGCACAGCCAAAAGAGATGAGGCCTTATTACTGATTTTCGAAAACAGAGTCTTACGACGAAACTTTTGACCCATCAAAGATGTAAACAGCAGTGAATGGAGAGTGAGAAGCAACAACGAAATTCATAATCTGTTTAAATCAAAACTTATCACTGGCATCATGAGAGCTAATAGACTGAAATGGTTGGGATACATTGAAAGAATTTCAGATGACAGAGAAGTAGAAGTTGTAAACACCAGGGAAACCAAGAAGACGATGGAGAGATAATATCAACTTACCAAATGGAAAGAGAAGTCCAACCAGAGAGATGAATGGAGGCGGGTGATATCTGCAGCGATGAACCTCAAGGGTTCGGAAAGCTGAAGAAGAATAAGTAAACTAGCGGGGGGGGGGGGGGGGGGGTTTAAGGGTTTACTTTCAGTTTGTGGGCAAAATAATACTGTACCGAACGAAAAATAAATATAATAATTTTGAAATGTATAAACAAACACTTTTCAAAAGAATTTCTAGACATGGTTAAAATGAACTTTAAAAAAATTGTGGTGGAAAAGGAGAAAGAGGGTGTTTGGGGGGAAAAGGGGGGGGGGTGGTTCTTAAAATTGTGGGAAGGGTCTCAGGTGGCCCCCGCCCTCAGGTTTTGGGGCCCCGGATTAGCATTACCCGCGATTGAAAGCTGTTAACATAATTGGTGACCAGTGCGCCATGACAGGAACTATAAGACAAAAACTGCAGGTTATACCAGAATGGCGTGGCCGTTACAGATGCACGAATTATAACTTTTTTAGAGGCTTAACCGTAATTTTGGGATGTGCTCTTCAGACCAATTTTTTTTTTTTTTTTTAATTTTTATGTTAAGCCTTATGGCAGCATAACCTAGTGAACAAACCAATTGCCGATGAATTTTTCTTTATTAAAAAGTTTCCTGGTTCTTTCGCCATACCGGAAGCGGAAGTGTTTATCCTGATGTCTGTCAATGATGGCGCAGACAAACTCAACAATGAGATTCTCTCGAGAATTATGATGGATTATATATTTTAAATACACGTAAATTCTCACACGGTGTCTATCTCTAATACTGCCTGAATCTGATCTGTTCTTATAAATTGTTGTTGTCTCACAGATTTTGAGCAAAGATGTATCTCTGGCTATAAAAGAGTAATTTACAACTCAAAACACTTCACAGTCACCACACTGACGGTCACACTCGAAGTTTGAGACGATTGGATTGATTTTTTTTTTAATGTAAAGACTACAGTTTTACTGAAAATTAAAGAACACTTAGAATTCCGAGAGAACTGTCTACCTGACTAGTTAGGCTAACCTCAAACGAAAGAGCAATCAAATACTTGCTCGATTAATTCTGCTAATGCTAGTAATAGTAATAGAGGCAGACAGTGAGTCACGACACTACACTATTGAATTGTGCTACAGAAAGATAATTAGTATTACATTACTTGACTATGACTATGACATTAACCCAAACTACACAACTAGCAACAGACAAGAAACTACATCTAATTGTGCTCTGTGATGCTTAATGGGATACGCAGTAGGACAAAAGATTAACAAGTGAGAGGGATCAAATTGAACTGTTCAAAAAAATTTTTAGCGGCTCTCCTCCGAACTTCAACCTGATATTATGGCGGCCAAAAAATATCCTTACAGGGCTCAGGCATATGTAAAATATGGACTTTCTGCCAAGGAAAAAATCGCGGCAAAACTAGGATTACTTGACAATTTTAAGAGACGCAACATTGCAGACGATAATAGCAACCGTTGACTATTTCGAGCGTTTTTGCAGACGATAGTAGCGATGATAATAGCATGCTCAAAACGGGATTAAACTCACCGCTGAGCATATCACCCGCACCGCTACGTGCGGCGCGCATAGGGGGCTAAACTAGGTGCCTGGGACTCACGAGCAAATTAACTGGAGGAAGTTGCAGGAGATTTGGTAGCTGCTGCTCGTGAGTCCCAGCGATCTAGTTAATACACTTGGCCTTGAGGCATAGTCACAGAAACAGGTCCGCAGGTAACATATCGCTGAGACCCTGTTAGAGCATTTGTTTCGTTATACGGAGCCTGCATATTTTTAATAGAACTGAGCCCCATAAGGATATTTTATGGCCCCCATAATATCGTGTTGAAGTTCGGAGGAGAGCCTTTTAAACTTACCAAAACTAATAAGTTCACAGTGCTTAAGCCACAGATGCCTGCACGGCTATCCTCTGAATAACGGTCATTATTATTGAGGCAGGAAATAAACCCTAACAGGGCCTCAGTCACGTGTCAATTGCGGACTTCCGAAGACTTAAATTGCACACTTTCAGCAACCTTCGCCACGCTGAGAGTATCCCCTGTGCGGCGTGGATTGGTGCTAAATTTGATGGCTGGGACTCACGAGCAGCTGCTACTGCATCTCCTGCAGCTTCCTTCATTTTATTTGCTAGTGAGTCCTAGCCATCTAGTTTAGCCCCTTTTCAAGGGGCATGAGCAGCGTGGGACAATTGACACATGACTGAGGCCCTGTAAGGCTTGACACATGACTGAGGCCCTGTTAGGCTATATTTTCTGCCTCAATAATTTGGGACCGTTATTCGGAGGATAACTGCCTGCACTACTACTACTGCAACTACATGTTGCAGATAATTATGCTAATTATTATGTTAGCAAATGTACAAGATAGATTGACACATTTAAGAATATAGGTAATATAATGAATTCCTGTATTTCTTCTGGTCTCACGTGCTGCCTTATATTCCGAGTTCTCATCCACCTTAATGTTTGATCAGACTAATTCCCCATATGGGTTCCGAGGCCCAATTATTAGCATTGGGGGGGGGGGGGGGGGGGGCACTGCCACACAACTAGCATGTCATAAAAGTTGACTATTTTGGGTTGTTTCCTTCAAAGTCAGAGTAAATCTGCCTGAGAGGCAAAGAACCAACAGTCTGCCTACAGATAAGCCAGATCTGTAAAACAAGTGTGCATGCAGAACTCAAGTTTTGAAACAGTATTAAAGACCAGAGGTGGATGAATAACCATAAATTTTTGCTAAAGTTTACTGCCAGTGAATGTAAAGAAGAAGATCAGAAATTGTAAGCAGGCTATACTTGTGGTTTTTTTTTCTTATAATTCATACTGTATGGTGGTATTTCAAGAAGAAAAGAAATACTGATGTCTAAGAAACTAGAACATCAAGGAATATAGGTTGGTAAACAACATCCTGGAGAAATGGAAATATTTGGATTGGAAAGAAAAACTGACACTTTGTGTAGAAGAGTGCATAAGGGGGAAGATCTAGTGAAAGACTGAGTTTCTCTGTCTACTGGGAACGATATTTTGCAAAGGACCGTGTACATGATTATGTGATGTTAATGATGTCTGTTCACGGCCCTCAAACTGTTAAGTTGATTCAAGAACTGATATCCCAGCACTCAAGGCATTCCCATCAGCGCTCCATCACCATGTTCAGCAGCCAGCACAGGGTTCCAGTTACCAATAGTAGTCTGATTATATGTCTGTCTTACCTTTCCTCTGAACGTCGAGTATCGGCCAGATCCCTTCGTCAGGCCTCACCAGACTGTGATGCTCCATTGGCTCCTCCAAATTGTACACGTTCTCCAATAAGCCTTAACAACATCTGCCTTGTCGTGCATCAGTATTCTACCAAATTGTGCTAATCTCTTGTACCATCTATCTTGTTCTTCTTTCCCATAATTCCTGCCCATAAACTGTATATTTTCTCTCTTGGTCTCTCTCTGCCTCCCCAACTTTCCCATTGTCACGACACACTCCAGTTTTCTCCTGGTGGTTCAACATCATGATTTGCCATTTATGCCTCATAAAAGGCTCGCATTCAGTTCTGCCATGTGCAGTTCTTTCAGTATCATTGGTGGAATCCAGTCCAGCACCTTTGGCCTTTCTCATCAGTATTCATTTTAGAGTTTCTCTTGGATATATTTGTTTTCCTCAGTCTTGTCTGTTTGGTGACTTTGTGCTCTCTTCTTTTCAAAGTGTGCCTAATATATTGCAGTCTTATTTTTCATTTCTCTCATTCAAATATTTATATATATATATATATATATATATATATAGTTTTTTTGTTTTTAATTATGTTTCTCCAGATGTCTTTGCAGTCCTGCAACTTTCCAGGGTTTCAGTTCTCTAGAGACAAATACTTGTAAATAAGAGGTCAGTTATGGCGAACACCACAATCTGTACAGACACTTCAGAGGCAGTGGACCTCTGTGAGTCTCAGCACCTCTACTTGAAGCCGGTGGCAAAGATCAACATTTGTGTTCAGTTGCCTCAGTTGAAGGCAGCAGGAAAAACCATCTCAAATTGGGAGGTTATGGAAAAGGTCAGTATTTATTGTTTTAAATTTATAAAAAGTATGTAGACTGGAAACAATGTAAGGAGAATGTCATCACACCAGAACCCACTAGGTCATAGAAAATAAAGGCAGGCCAAAGATACATGGGGAAAACTAGAGAGTTAAGTTGAAAGATGGGGAGGGCATGGGGTAAGCTGCTTGTGGTAGTAACAAGTAGGGTGATGGCTTGAGTTGGTTGAGAGCTTATGCTTCATTAGGGTATTTAGAGCGGAAGAAGAATGGAGACTGGGTGCCCTAAAGGTTTGGTCGCCATGTCTGGCTCAGCGTTTTTAACATTTTAAATTATCTCATGGTTTTTTGGAAGCCACAGCAGAGTGACTAGATTCTTGCCCATTGGCCGGATGGTCTTGGGTTCATATCCTTCTGTTTTTCTCCTCCAAGTTGCTACATGCCGGTTTGACCACACTGAGATTGCAGAATTTCAGTCTGGATGGGAAGCCTAGATGGACAATTCCAGACATTCAGTTCAGCCTTGAAAGAAGTTATAATTGGGACACCCATTATAACTATACCAGCCTATTGTAACCTGTAGTCCTGTGATGATGGGCATCGCGTTAGATCCATTTTGAGGCAGATTTTTAAAATGGGCCAAAGCTTCCAGATTGGCCCAGCCTAAAATGCGTGTCAGGAAATGGTCTGAGAAGTAAAGTTGGCTAGAGTGATGATCACCTGACCATTGAGTGTCATCTGGTCTTAACCAAAACTTTTTTCTAGAAAAAAAGGTGTTGACACTCACAAAAAGGGAGCCACCATGGTATAGTAGCTAGACTCTCGCCTGCAGATCCAAAGATCGCTGGTTCAAGTTCTGACGGAGACGAACTTTTTTTTTTTTAAATGCCGTTGACCTCACAGGTTGAACAAGCCTTAAATAGGTACCAAATAAAGTCATAGGAAGTACAGGCGGCTAGCATGATGTTGACTGAGTGTCCGTATCCATTTTTGAAGAAAAAAAAATCAAGTCAACCACGTTCAACTTGCTCCAGTTTCTTCTTCTTCGCGTTCACCCAGCTGTAAACTCTGGCAGAAAGTTCTGGTTGTTCATCCACTTCTGGACTGCAGTCCTGTTCCAGAACCTGAGTGTTGCATGTGCATCTGTTTTACAGATCTGATTTATTTGTATACAGACTGCTAGTTCCTTGCCTCTCAGGCAGATGTACTCTGACTTCAAAGGAAGCTCCCAATTAGTCAACTCTTACAACATGTTTTTGGGTAGTCAGTGGGTCTGTTCTTATTTTCCCTATAACAGGGCCCGGGAACCCACACGGGAAGCTCCCGTTATATTTATGGTCTAGTTTATTTGAACCAAGTGTGCGGCTAAGGTAGGTATGTGTGCAAGTTGCTGGCTTTGTATCCCTAACCAAATAGATTGTCCACTCCTTCTTTATTTATGAATAAATGTAGAATTGTGTACACGAATAAATTGTGTACATGAATAAATGTAGATTTTTTACATTAATAAATGTAGAATTTGAACATGAATAAATGTAGATTTTTATATATCAATAAATGTAGATTTTTTTTTTTCAAGGAAAAAATACATCCCCAGAAAACAAGCCCTAGTGCATTTTTAGAATCAAAAAAAAATATAAGACCGGGTCTTATTTTGGGGAAAACACAGAAAACACTATAGGGCTGAAAAAATGATGCCAAAAAAAGGTGCCAGTGCTGTGCATTGCCAGAAAAGGCCCTGGACTAAAACCATTTGACTACTATGCCACTAGCGTTAAATGGGCCCTTTATCATTTTTCTCTCTCTCACTCTTTCACACCTGAAGAAGGAAGATTGACATCTGTTTCTTCACTAACCCAGTAAGCTTTTCTATAAACTGTTGTGTTTTTTCTACACTTGGATATGAATTCTTGCTGTCCATATCCCAAAGTTGTTGATTCACGTTTATGGTAGACCTGGCCGTCAGCGATGACATCTTTTTATTTTTTAAAGGTGTCAGGTTGGTCATATTTGAAACAAGACCTTCGGGTCAGCAGGTGTTCGTCTAGCCACTAAGCCACTGCGGTTCCTCTTTTTTATGAGTGCCAGTCAAGGCATGCTAATTTGTTTATCTCCTACACTAATCGTTTTTGTTACTCACCAGCTGAAACACATGGTGAGGCCTGAAGTTTTCTTGACCTTGAAGATTTTCAAAAGCACCATGGAGTTCATCCGTTTAGAAGGAGAGATTGAGAACAAGAGCAAAATTCACAATATTATTCTGAAATTGGATGGAAAGACAATAAAATTGAGTGGGTTCACAGAAATTCTCAAGGTACTTTTTTCTGTTATTCTTCCTTTTGTTTTAATCCTGCATTTGTTTGTTAATTCCATAAGCAGGAATTTTTTTTTGTACCAGATGTGCAACGTTGTTGTTGGAACATTTTGAGGAGGGTGGAGACAGGTATGCTCCATTCAGAGTGGCAAGCATCGCTTCAGATCTCCCTGTTAGTTGAGTCCTTTGGATATTTTCCCCCAGGAATGCTGGTGTGTTGGGAAATTAACAAGCAGATAGATTCACTGGTTCTGTACCACTTGGTGGTAAATTTATGCATGACACACTGGATTTTTTTAAGGGCCCTTTGGTAGCAAGTAAACATTGCGGTGGCACAAATAGATCATCACTGTCTAAAGAGAATGGTGCAGCGAGGAATCACCAGGGAATCTAGCCTATGCTTAGCACTCAGGGCAGAGGCGAAATGGACATACAGACTGTTACTGGTACCATCGGAATTACAATTTAGCTTGCTGTTGAAGATGTTGATTGAGCGCTTATGGGATGTCTCGAATGCTTTGATATTGGTTTTTAACTCATAACTGACACACAGTCCTAGACTTGTATTTTCCTATAGACTGATCCTCAGTGGGTGATGTGGCCGACTTTACTTCCCAGAATATTACCTGGGACTCATTTTAGGCTGGGTGTCAAGGGCAGTTTTATTTGTTTAAATCTGCCTCAGTGATGATTTAAATCTTAGACCTTGGGAATGTGTCACAACTATAGGAGAGCCCTTGGAAGAGAAGAGTTGCTATACAGGAGATATTTGTCAATCTGAATGGGGCCAGTTAGAAGTAGTGAAACTACACTGTCTACAAGGGTAGTTCTAATAGGCAGAAAGACTGAGACCTCACTCTTGAGACAGAGGACAAGAAGGTAAGTCTTAACCTGCAACATTGGTGGGCTGCTAGAACAACAACGATGGTGGGCTGCTAGAACAACAACAATGGTGGGCTGCTAGAACAATAACAATGGTGGGCTGCTAGAACAACAACAATGGTGGGCTGCTAGGACAGCAACAGTGGTGGGCTGCTAGAACAACAACAATGGTGGGCTGCTAGAACAACAACAATGGTGGGCTGCTAGAACAACAACAATGGTGGGCTGCTAGAACAACAACAATGGTGGGATGCTAGAACAACAACAATGGTGGGCTGCTAGAACAACAATGGTGGGCTGCTAGAACAACAACAATGGTGGGCTGCTAGACAACAACAATGGTGGGCTGCTAGGACAACAACAATGGTGGGCTGCTAGGACAACAACAATGGTGGGCTGCTAGGACAACAACAATGGTGGGCTGCTAGGACAACAACAATGGTGGGCTGCTAGAACAACAATGGTGGGCTGCTAGGACAACAACAATGGTGGGCTGCTAGGACAACAACAATGGTGGGCTGCTAGGACAAGCTAGTTATCTTGGTGGCAACTCCTCTGCAACTGAATTAATAAAAGGGTCCCTAGAGAGAAAGCACACTGTCCCCTTCTCCTCACTCAAATATCCCTCTCACTCACAGGTATGTACCCACTGAAGAGATTGTTTTGAGTAAAGAATCAACTTTGAACACTTTAATCACACTTTTCATTACATAATGAACTGGATAAAAATTGATGGTATTTCGATGTTATTTTAAACCACTACAGGTGTCAACGTACAGGAACAAAAATGTCAGATAAGTTCAGTTCCTTTCCTGGCACAGCTCACCCTTGGAGATTCCCAGCGTGTCGACATCGTGGTGAGGAAACTGGAACACATGGCTTCAGTAGCGACAGTTTCTCATTATCCCTTCTGTTGAAGTTGGTTGGCGAATACTGCTCGTGAAAGCTTTCAGATGGTTTTATCCCAATGTTCTTATCTTACTGTCGGTTCATTCAGTGACCAGAGTTCTCATAGTTATTCAAATGTTGGAACAACATTTATCAAAATATCTACTGGATTTTGCTATTTTTATGGTGACGGTACACGCACAGAGAGTTGGTAGTTGTTAGTAAAAGGCTGCAGGGTTGGTGAAAGATAAAAAAAAGCCCTCATAAGTAAAATTCAAGCTTACACTACCAAAATTAGAGCGACCTATAGCCTAGCTATCTAGATGCGGGTTGACCCCCAAGTAGCGATTATATATTTTATGGTCACATTTTGACACCAGCCACAAATTCAAGGATACAAATTATTACTGCACCATATTACACATAGAACATATGTAAAACACCCATACACACCGGAGTTGTAGAATTTGAAGTAGAGTAACAACTTCCCCCTCGTATGCGTCTAGAATCAATGAAATATCCCAGTATGAATTTATTAAGTCTGATTCTATCAATTTGAAATAAGATCACTTGAATCTGACTATATGTCTAGCCCCGGTGGCACCGAAAATGAAATGACAGAAACAGTGGCGTCCAGGATACACGCGGCCATCACATGACCAGAGCTTTGTGCAAGTGCCAGATAGGTGGCGCTGGCCGAGGTTGTGTTTTCATAGGCCGTTGGTGAGTATCCACGCCGCGCCCTGATTGGCTGCTACATTGTGACCCCTCTAGAGATTAGAACAGCCAGAGCTGGTTTGATCTGGTTTTCCCGTCAGTCCAGTGAAGATAGCTAGTTGCTAAGCAACCGGGAAATATTGCCTATATCAGTGCATGCAGAAAGGTTGTTTTTTTGGGTTTAGAAACAGTCTTCAGTTTCTATAATGAATGACTCAATTCAGTCCTAAACTATCTACAGGGTGCCAGTGGCCGTTGCCAGTTCTGTCACAGGACAGCATGCATGCATCTAGCCGCTACACTATCGCGGCTGCCATTTGCTAATAGAGTTAGTTGTAAATACTTTACAGCAGTGTTCTAAACCAGCAGGCCTCGGAAAAGTCCATTTTTGCCACCAAACATTTCTGCTTAATTATGTAACTGGGTCGGGTATATAGTTATTGTCTTTCAGGATTGCAGTCTGTGAGACTAACATCTCAAAAATGCTTTAAGCATATTTGCTGATTGTTCAAAAATGTTAAACAATGTTTTTAAAAAAAATAATTTTTTTTTTGCTTTTCTTTCTAAGGTCAGAGCAGCAGAAGCAAAAGTTAGCTTCCCGTCCAAGCACGACTGGGACTCATTTTTCCGAGATGCTAAAAATGTGAATGAAATGAAACCAGGTGAAAGGCCGGACACCGTATACTTGAAAGATTTACCCACACGTTGGTTTATAGCTCAGAATCAGGACAGTGAATCTGAAAAAGAGTTAAAGCCGAGTGAGAGTGTGGTTCGGAAAGTTTTCCAGACGTTTGGAGAGATTCGTTGTATAGATATTCCTATGTTGGACCCGTATAGAAAAGAGGTAAGTGGTTTTTCCTTCTTCTGCTTCTGTGTTCACCCTTAAAAGGGCTGTCTTGTGATTTATAACAGTGCTGCGATATCTGCGCCTTTTCCCACATCACATCTGGTTTCAGCAAACCCTTAAATTAGTTTCCTTGTATGGAATGCTTGTGGGCTGTGGGTGTTTTTCTCTTCTACCAAAACGAGGGGATCTGGCCTATACTTGACGCTGACAGGAAAGGCAAGACAGAGGTATAATCAGAATGTTGCTGGCACCATTGCTATTGGAACTCTGAGCTGGCTGCTGAAGATGGGGACCGAGAACTTTTGGGAATGCTGCGATATTGGTTCTTAAATCAACTCAACTCAACTTTTTCATCAAAATTGAGCTCACAAACCCACACATTGAAGTACTTCGCTTTTCCCCCTGTCTTTTAGTTATGGTTTACAGTTGTTTTTTCCCCCCAGTCTTTTAGTTATGGTTTACAGTTGCTTTTTCCCCCAGTCTTTTAGTTATGGTTTACAGTTGCTTTTTCCCCCAGTCTTTTAGTTATGGTTTACAGTTGCTTTTTTCCCCCCAGTCTTTTAGTTATGGTTTACAGTTGCTTTTTCCCCCAGTCTTTTAGTTATGGTTTACTGTTGCTTTTCCCCCCTGTCTTTTAGTTATGGTTTACAGTTGCTTTTTCCCCCCAGTCTTTTAGTTATGATTTACAGTTGCGTTACAGCTGTTCGACCTGTGAATGTGATTTTGACGGCTTATGAGTTATTTTTGTGGTTATTCTGGCTAGGCTTACCATCTCCTGTCCTACACCGACCTAAAAATAGTAAATACGGGCCATAAAGACAGTTTTTTGTTTGTTTTGTAACTCTTGCTAGGAAAGCTGGCAATTGAAACTAATTATTCCATGTGTGGATTCTGATGAGAACAAGAATAGATCCACTGCCTCCCCAACACGCACGTCATAATAGGCGATTGATTGGTGGCTTCCTTCAAAGTTGGAGTGTATCTGCCTGAGAGACAAGGAACCAGCAGTCTGCATACAAATAAGCTAGATCTGTAAAACAGATGAACTCATGTCCTGGAAGAAAGCCAAAGTCTAGAAGTGGACAAACAGCCAGGTCTTTCTACTGGAGTTGACAGCCCGTGAATGCAAACAAACAATAACAAACTAATTATACCAGGATTGGCCATCATTTCTTTCTAAGGGAGACAAATGGTTATTGTAGATTTGACATAGCACTTCAAGCAAACTTATAGATGCTCCAATTTCCTTAAGGTTGCAAGGTATTTTTGAGTTAAGAACCCACATCATAGCACTAAGAACATTCCCATAAGCACTTTGTTTCCATCTTCAGCAGCCAGTTTTGGTATTACCAGTGGCAGTAATGTGTCCATCCTGCCTTTCCCCAGTGTTGAGTGTCAGCCAGATCTTCTGGAGAGTGGTCAAGTGGATGTAGACCACCTAGTAAGAGAACCATATCTGCCACATATGCAGGCCTAATTCCTCTAGTAACTCACTGCTGCACCAGTCTCTTCAGACAGTGATGAATCTATTTGTGCTTCCACACTGTTCACTTGCTCCCAAAGGGCCTTGATAACATCATGTTGTTCAGGCATTATTTTATCACTGAGGGCTGCAGAACCAACCAATCTGTCTGTCTGTTCATTTCCTAACACACCTGAATACCCTGGAGAAAATATCCTCAGAATGCTAGCTACACTGGACCTCTGAAGGATGCTTGCCAGTCTGCAGAGGGCATTCCTTTCTTCACCTTTTAATCGCCTACCTTATTCATGTCTGACCAGCACTGATCCTGCACTCTAGGTCTAATCCTGCATCTTTCGTATAATCATCCACCATAGATGTGCTCCTCAAGAGTAGCTATAGCATAGCGGCTAGACACTTGCATGCCAGCCCAATGGTTTAGGGTTCAAATCCGTGTGGGGACATTTTAATTTTCTTCACAATTGACTTTAGCACCCGTGTTGACCCGGCCTAAAATAAGTACCAGGTTATATCCTGGGAAGGCTGGTGTATATTGTTGACCATGTGACTCAGTGAGTGCTCACTGGGCTATAGCAGTGTAGGTAGGCACTGTATGCCTGATGCACATATGTGAGAAGTGTCCATAGGAAAAATAGAATAAATAAAAGACAATCTAATCAACATTCACCTCTCTCGCTCTCTGCTCCATCAATGACAGATCTGCGCCAACTTGAAGAAGAGCACCATCCAGACATTCTCCTATGGACAAGATCTGACATTTGAGTGCTTCATCCAGTACATGGACTACATCAGCTTTGTCAAGGCTATGGACTGTCTGCGGGGGATGAAGCTGCTCTACAAAGGAGGGGACAAGGCCCTTACTGCAGTTATCAAGGTAAGCTAAACCAGAGATTTGATACTGTTGAAAAACTCTGCAGTGATCCGATGGCACCTTTTTATTAATTGACAGGAAAACATGTACGCCTAAAAACTACAAACGACCAAGAACCAAAATAAAACTGCCAGTTGATTGATTGAACCCAAAGGTATTCCTGTGTGCAATTTAAATAGTTTAACTTATTAAATTACAAAAATTTTGAATATCGAAAATTATGTTTCTTTCAGTAGCTGTGCGTTTTTTTATTTTCTTAAATAGTATATTAACATGTTTGAAAAACCCACACAGACATGCACGTACAAAGTCTGCCAAAATCTTTATGCATTTGTCCATGAACATTTTTTAATAATAATGTTGAATTACAAAGGCAGTATGAATTTCTGATAAACTAACACCAAGTTGTCCTATCCTTTGCTTTTGCTTACAATTCATCCCATCCCCTCCCTGTCTTTTTATCTTCTTTTTCTGGCTCCCTTCGCCAGTGTTTTTCTTCCTTTTATGTCGATTGCAGTGTAAAAACATTCTATTGCATTGTTGTTTGCGTTTATCGACTGTAAACCCTGCTGGAAAGACCTGGTTGTTTGTCTGTTTCTGGACTTTAACTTTGTTCCAGAACTTGAGTTTGCATGTGCACCTGTTTTGCACATCTTGCTTATTTGTATGCAGACTGTTGGTTCGGACTTTAAAGGAAGCCCACGATTAGGTGACTCTTACAACATGTGTGTTGGAGTGGCAGTGGGTCTGTTCTTGTTTTTTTTTTCCCACAGTGGAACCCCGGAACCCACACGGGGATCTAGTTATACTGTTCTCAGGTTTTGTCAGCGCGGGTCCCATCCAATGCCAACGTCTTTTTTTCAACTCTTGATTCACTGGAAGTTGTTTAGTTCTCCCAAAATTTTACATTATTGATTCTGTCATACCATATAATTCCCTCTATTTTGGCAGAAACCAGTTAATGAATGTTTGTAGTTTATTAGTAAATGTTTTAACTATTCTTTATGTTTCCGCTCCATAAAACCGTACTGATTTTTTGTTTGCTGCAGTGTGACGTTAGTTTTCTTGTTTGTTTTTTATTAGAAGAGCCTCCCTCCATTTTGGTTGACTGGATATTATTTGTAGCTTTAGATGTTTTTTTAAAAAAAGACTTTTATGGTTGGTTGGTTTTATAATCTTTAGTGGTTTGCTGGATGAGGTAGTCAAACCTAGCTAGATGAGGTAGTCAAACCTAGCTGGGTGAGGTAGTCAAACCTAGCTGGGTGAGGTAGTCAAACCTAGCGGGGGGAGGTAGTCAAACCTAGCCGGGTGAGGTAGTCAAACCTAGCGGGCTGAGGTAGTCAAACCTAGCTGGGTGAAGTAAGTAAAAGTAAAGTAAAGTTCCCTTTTCACGCCTTTCAGCGCATCGGGCATATGGGCAGAGCGTCCCATATTTTTACAGACCATCAGCACTCTGTGGGTAATGTGGTCAGCATTACGCCGGCTGTCTTTACTTTCCCAGGACAGCCAATCCTGGTACCCATTTTAGGCTGGGTCGACCTGCGACGTCCCATACCACGACAAACCTAGCGGGGTGAGGTAGTCAAACCTAGCGGGGTGAGGTAGTCAAACCTAGCGGGGTGAGGTAGTCAAACCTAGCGGGGTGAGGTAGTCAAACCTAGCGGGGTGAGGTAGTCACAGGGTTCGTAGTGGACCGGGAAATCTGGAAATTACCGGGATTTTTTTTGATGACCTTGAACCGTGATTTTTAGCTTATAAAAGACATTCCGACCTTGAAAAGCCGTGAATTTTGACCGTGGCAATGAAATCGTCAGAAATCCTGTGTTTTTCAGCACAGGCAATTTTGGGGGAGCCATTTGGCTTTTTTGGCCATTTGGCTAGTTTTTGGCTACTTTCATTGTATGGTCGTTTTAGGTGTTAGGGCAGCTGATTATTGGCTATTTTCAGCCGAAATGGCTTGTTAAAGGCCAGGGGAGGGCGGGCTGTGTTGCAGATCATGAATACATGCAGACAGCAGCGGTGTGGCATGGGGCGGGAAGTAGCAGATTCCATCTCGCATGTGTGTGTGTGTGCCTTTGTTTCTAGCGAGTGGGGCAGAATGAACAGTATAATCAATTATGGCCGTGGTTTCTAGAAAGGATTACATTGCGAGAGCCGTGGTGGGGGCTAAGCACGGCCTTCTCTATTAATTAGAGATTTCATTGGGGCTAAGCAAAGTGACTGCAGCTGGATTTCCCAGTTCTATTTTTGGCCTGGATTTATCTTTACAGTGTGTTTGGCGATCAGTATTGTAATTCCCCGAGATTCCCTCTTCTGTTGCCACTCTCCCTCACTCCCTCCCCCCCCCTCTCTCTCTCTCTCTCTCTCTCTCTTTCTCCATACCTTCAGTTGGTGTAGGTTATGTGTTGCCTAGTGCAGAACATTTCATGTCCACCATTCCCCCCTCCCACACATTGAATATATGTGTACTTTTAAAAACACATTTGCCGTCACCCCCCCCCCCCCTTTTTTTTTTCTCCTCCCACATTGATGACACCCAGGGGAGGGAGTGCACCCCTTCCTGCTACCTTCTTCCCTCTATACCTCATCTTATTTCTTACTCCCTTCTTTCTCTCCCTGTCTCATTCCCACTTTATTTTCTTAAACTTTATTCTCTCACCTCCTCTGTCTCACCCTTACCACCTCAGCCTTCTACACCACTTTCCACCACCTCCTCTCTCCCCTCCTTTCTGTAATTGGAAAACCAGAAATAAAACGAAGTCCACTGCTGCCCTGACCTATTTAAGTGTCTGACCTATTTATGTGTGTGGGTAAACTTCTCTATTTTCCACCAGTGGTGGGTTGGGATCCCCTGGACTTTTTTTTCTTCATAAAATGACCTTGGCTCTCAGGTCACCAGCCTTAAGTGTAAGAAATTGAATTATTGTTGTCACACACAGATAGGACAAGCAAGGGGCAGTAGGGGTTAGCACTGTTGTTTTTGGACCACGGCCACATTCACATTGGGAGAGGGTAGGAACCGGAAAAGTGGCCACACTTAGAGATTTCCTAATTCTATTTTTGGCACTCATTGTTCTTACACCCCCCACCCCACAACCGTGTCTTACCTTTTTTCTCTCACCCCTTCTCTTTCCTTTGATCTTCTACTATTCTCCTTTCTCTCTCCATTCTTCCTCTCTCCCTTTCCTTGCCCTTTCTCCTGTCCCATCTCTTCTTTGTCTTCTCTCCATCCTGTCTTTTCATTTTCTCTAGATTTCCTTACCCGCTCCCCTCTCTCATTCTCCCCCCCCCCCCCCCATTTTTTTTACTGGTTCATCTACGTATTTTTTTGCCCCATAACTATCTTTTCCTAGTGGTTGTGTCCACTACACTTGAAATTGTGTGGGGGGGGGGGGGGGGAGTAGGTGGCTGTTTTTTTTTCTTTGATGTATCTTGTCTCCCTTCCTGCCCCTCTCTCTTAATCTGTGTTTGTCACTGCCTTCCTTACCCACCTCTCTCTCTCTCTTGCTTTATGTCTGTTTGCCTCCCTTCATCACTTCCTCTTTGTATACCTCCCTCCCATTCTCCTGCTCTGCCTTTTTTCTCTTTCTTTGGTTCTCTCCCTCTGTCTGCTTGCCTCTCTGTGCTGTCCCTTTTGTCTCTCTCTCCTTTATGTCTACATCTCTCTCTGCTTGCATCTGCTTCTCACCCTGTCCGTTCTCTCTCCCTCTGTCTCCCTTCTTTCAACTCTTTGTCATATTTTCCTCCTTCCATATCTCTGTTTCGTTCCCTTTTTTCTTCTCTTTTCATCTGCCCATCTCTGTATCTGCATTCCCTCTTTCTGTATTTGTCTCCCTCTCTTGTCTTTCGCTGTCCCTTCCCCACTTTTCCTCATCATGTCTCCATCCCTCCCTCTCATTTTTTCCTCCTTCCCCAGACTTCTTTTCCTTCTTTTCTCTACCTTCATCTGTCCATCTTTACACTGTCTCTCCCAGCCTACCTCAGCATGTGTCTTCCTCTCTCTCCCCTAACCCTCTCAGGTACCAGGTCCAGAACAGACAGGACTTCAGTTTGCTGCCCTCTACCACCAAGCCCTAAAAAAAAATTTCAAACACTATATCAAGGTCAGGGGCCGACCAACACGAAGATGGGCACAGGATATAAGTGACTCCTTGAGTATAAAAAAGTACATGAGGCGGGAGAGCTGGTGAGAGACCGAGATTTTTTGTCAGGACAAAGGAAAAGCTACATGATGATGATATATGTGCTGGTATACCAACACATGTGGCACAAATGAAGTACCTTGTGTGCTCAGTACACCCTTGAACAAGGCAAAAATCTTGTTTCAGTATTACATCGAGACAACCTTGAAAAAACTAAGAAGACCTTGAAAAAGACCTTGAAAAGCCTTGAAATTGATTAGTAAATTTGGCTATGAACCCTGTAGTCAAACCTATCCTTGGTCACTTCTTACAACATGCCTTGAAGTCGGTAATGTTACCATTCTTTGCTCCTTTTGGGAGCGCTGGTAACACAAAGTCGAGAAAAAGTTTATCCCTAGAGCATAAGTATCCATGTTTTACCATTTTGACCCTTAACAGTCTAAAACATGGCCTTTTTACAATTTGTTTTTTTTCAAAACTATTTCTTATAATCCCCTGAAACCTATCTAAGAAACTAGGGGAAGAGAAGAAGAAACAGAGGACATTTGTAGTCTCTGTAGGGGTCAGAGCCCTATATCACCGAGCAGACAGCAAAAAAAAAAAAAGACCACTGCTTCATTGTGTCCTTCAGTTAGCTAAAAATTAATGATGTTTAATTATTTAGCAATCATTATAATTCACAGATACCAGAAGATGAATGTATTACCTAAAGGGGAATAATCATTAAATACAAACAGACAAAAAAAAAGACTAACTGATTTCCTTCTTTTTGACCATAATAATTGAGGTTTTGCTGACTTAGCCACATCCATCATTGTGGAGTCATTGTGAGATTATTGTGGCGTCACAATTAACATCACATTTTTTCACAAATGTGATTTATCTGACCGCCAATAATATCAGTTGATTTTCAGAATATATATTTATAGGTGTAGTGGCCACTCCCCACAGACTTTTTGTCAGCAAAATGTAAATTCTTGATAAATGACTTTCTTGGGGTCTAAGGGTTAATAAGTTATTAAGTTTAATTTCTTTTGACTTCTGCAGATTTCTGAAATCTATATCGCTCTTTTAATGACCACAAAACTGTCTGGGTTAAAAGAACAATAGAACAAAATTCATTGTACAGAAATAGAATTGTTAACTGTAAGAAAGTTTATATTTGAAATTTGTTACAAAGAAAATACTAACATATTTTCTTATTTATTTGTTGGTTGTTACATACCCTCCCACATAGATTGACTTCGACAAGACAAAACATTTGTCAGAGAAAAACATCCGCAGACGGAGGATAGAGAGAGATAAGTTGGAGGCACTTGAAAGAGAGAGGTTGGAACGTGCTCGAAGAGAACGAGAAGAGGAAGAAAGAAAGAAGGAAGACGAAAGGTATACATTTCAGCCGGTATTTTTCTAAGTTAGTATTTTGTAACGCGCACTTTTAAAAATGTTAAGTGATGTGGTAAATGTTGTAAACCCATACTTAGAGAGAATGATGGAGCTGGGGAATGTCTGCGGGCTCTGGGTACCACTTGATTGGGGGTGGGCAAGACAAGTAGTTAACCAGATCACATTGGGTACCGTTGATATAGAGACTCTTCGCTGGTTGTTGAAGATGGAAGGCTTACCTATTATAGGCTTGGCCTGAATGCTCTGATGTCAAATCTTTACCCAGATGACCCCCCACATATGCTTCTTCTTCGTTTTCTTCTTATTACCATTCACCAACTCTGACTGAAAGTACTGGTCCTTTGTCCACTTCTGGGCTTTAGTCTTGTTCCAGAACATGAGTTTTGCCTTCACATTGTTTCACAGGTCTGGCTTAATTGTATGCTGACTGTTGGTTCTTTGCCTCTCCTGCGCTCTAACTTTGAAAAGAAAAATCCTTCATTGGTTTCCCTTTACAACATGCCTGTTAGGGAGGTAATGAGTCAGAGTGATGCAGCTACCCCCCCCCCCCCCCCAACACTCCCACAAATGTGGCTCCGGAACCCACACAGTGATGACCTCAGGTGTCATTGAAAAAAACATAGCAATAGTTTAACTGTGCTGTTGACTACATCACCCATCAAGGGCCAGTTAAACTATAAAAATTTGGATTATGCCCCATGTGCCTGAGTGCTAATGAAAGGCAGGAGAAGGATCCTTCACCTTTCACCATAACCCATTAATCAAAAGTACTCCCCCCAAAAAAGTTAGTGCTGCATTAGTGATTCTTTCATTCCATTTTTCTATTTTGCAAAAGCACAAATTAATGAATGTTTGTAATTTATTAGTACACCTCCCCTCAAATTGTAGTCTGTGCAACTTACGACCATCCGCACACAAAATTAATAAATAAAAGCGTTAAATAAAGAAAGATAGCTACAATGGCAGGGTCAAAGGGTTCCAGGAACTGACAAAACAGAGTACACATTATGCACTTTTCACATTATATACAATAATTATACATAATTGAATTTTTTGGGTTTTAAATACAATTTAAAAACCCATTTGAATAAAAAAAATTGTGTTTAAAAACATACTTTTATCTTATGACCAGTTTGTTTTACCATCTGTTAGTTGGAACAGAACTTAGTCCTAAGTCGAGGAGACCATGTACTTGTCTTTGCTATTCTAGTCATCTCCTTTTGGAACGCTTTTTTTTCCCCCTTATTTTGAAGCCCCACCCTGATAGGGGTCGCAATATAGCCCGGCCATAAATATGGTCTAATGGCTGAACGCAGTTTCCGGGACCTCTCCACGCATGATCCTCATACACGTGGTGGCACACTGTATCATCGGGTGTTTATCGCTTGTGTGATGTCTTAGTGGAGTCAAATGTACTACTACTAATGTAATTGTCTTAGTTGTTCTCCATGTTTCTGATTTAACTTTGATGTTAAATATTCTAAATTGGTAATAGTTAAGTTTGTTTTGACGTCACAAATTTTTCCATTGCAGTGAAAGCTCCTATTGCCTTTTGTATTCTTATTTTAATACCTATGTTTCTTTTGTAATTATCTCCAGTATAATAAGTTTATGAATTTGTATCTTGAAGTGAGAGATATCATATTATCATTTGCGTTGCGTGATTCGTTTTCTTTCTCTTTATACTATTAATTTTTAGGCGCCCTCCTGTATTTTCTCAAGTATAAGACGCACTTATTTTCCAGAAACGTAGGGTCTAAACAAGTGTGCATTTTGTACAGTGGTAGCAGATTTTTACCAAATGATTTGTTTTAAAAAATATCATTTAAAGGGCCTCATTTTTGAATGACAGTTCAGGGGCGATATAAAACATTATTTCTCTCTTGTTAAAATTAGGTTACATTTTGCCCATAAATGTAGAGATTTTTGTACAGTGCCAAATTCAAATTGAATGTGATCCACTGAGTTCAACAACTATATGTAATCATGTTTTTTGTTTTTTAAATTTCTGTCATTATACATGAGATCATCTTATACTTGAAGAAATACGGTAATAATTACTACTTCCTATCCATGGGGTTCTGAGGCTGTATTTTTTTTTTTTTTTTTTTTTTTTGAGGGGCGTTGGGGTGGGGAATAGACCTAATACTCTTCACCCTCAACAGAAATGGCGTAAATGTAAACTATTTATGAATGTTTCCTTTTAAGTCATAGTGCATCTGCCTGAAAGACAAGGAACTAACAGTTTGTATACAAAAAAGCCAGATCTATAAAATGGATTTGCATGCAACCCTCAAATTCTGGAACAAGACCAAAGTCAAGAAGTTCACAAATAACCAGAACTTTCGGCCAGAGTTTACAGCCGGTGAGCGGTGAGAAGAAGAAGCAGAGTTGTCTTCCATGCTAATTCATCATCATCCTCATGTAGCAGTCCTTTGCAGAACGTCGCTCTCATCACAGTCTGCCTGAAAGAAACTCGGTCTCTCGCCAGTTCTCCGGCCTTATGCATTTTTACATTCAAGGAGTCACCTATATCCTGTGCCCATCTTCGTGTCGGTCGGCCCCTGCCCCTCCTTCCTGGTAATATGCCTTCTGCTATTATTTTTTCCGATCCGTCGTGGCCAAAATATTTTCAGCTTTCGAGAAAGGATGCTGTTTATTAGCCAATCTTTCTTGATGTTCAGATCTTTTAAGATGTCAATATTTCTCATCTTCTTTGTCCAAGATATTCTGAGAATCTTTCTATAACATTTCAGCTCAAAAGCCCCTATTCTCTTTCTCAAGCCAATTACTGCCCTTATCATATCACTTTTGCGGTATAGGCAGGGGGGTCTGAGCATGAGGATTTACGGCCGCATGGCTGGTGCTGTCACCATGACTGTGCAAGTAAGGATTTTATTTTGCCCCCGACAGAAAAAAATCCCCAGCCTTATGGAGGATTTGAACCCAGGTCTCCCGCTTGAGAGCCCAGCGTTCTAACCGTTCGGCCAGCCGCTCCTCAGTTTGCCATGAAGTGTATTTAATTCAGCTTGAATCAGCCTCACTAGTGTAACCGTATAGTTGAATTCATTGCACTCATTCATAAGACATTTATTTAACAATAGCTTCTTTCCCATAAATTAAGGCGCAGAAAAGAAGAAGAGGAAAGAGAAAAGGAGAGAAAACGTCAGGAGAAGCTACAGAGAAAAGAAGACAGAAGGAAAGAGCGTGAAGAGAAGAGACGGCAGAAGAAAATGGAAAAGAAGCAGCGTGAAGAAGAGGAACGCATCCAGTATAAAATTGCTCTTGAGGAGAGGCGTTTCTTAATTGCCCAGCGCAAGCTGGAGTCGCTAAGAATGTTGTCCGAGCTCTTTGAGAGAATCAAGGTGAATTTGTATTTCTGTTTTTTATTGTTGTCTAGTATTGCAATAGAGTCGCTATGGCATAATGCCTAGACATACTACCTCTGGTCTAAAGGTTTGGCTTCAATTCCCTGCCTAGTATATAATTTTACTTCCAGTGACCTTGGCCCACATGGACAACCAGTCCGAAATGGGTACTGAGTAAAGTGCTGGGAGGTAAAGGTAGCTGGCATGTTGTTGACCACATAACCTATAGAGGGCTGACTGGTCTATACAACTATTATTCTAGCAACTGAGGACGGCACGCGCATGGCAATGCCTCAAGTGCTGTGATGTCAGTTCTTGACTCAACTCAACCTAACTCAAATCTAGCAACTTATGCCCCGTGTGCTACCATGGGGAAATATTTCTGCGAGGTAGAATCAGAAATTATCTACACTTTTAATTCTACAGTTTACACAAAGCTATGAGTTTGTTTACATGAAGCTAGGTTTTCACTATGCACATCATGTTTCTGCCTAATCACCCTTCTTATCAATGCACTTTGCCAACGATCAGCATTCTTATGTATTCATTCCAAATAAAAGGTTTTTGGTTGGTCATGAAGCCACTTTTGCACCGGATTTTGCACGAGTGAGCTTGTGTTCTGCAGCAAGCATTCTTGGTACCCACCGAGCACTGACTTTATGAAAGCTAAGCTCGTCGTAGATGATTTGATGGCAGAACCATGGCTGTTGTTTAACTCAGACGCTACCTCTTTAGGGTCATTCACCTATTTGCCAGAACCATCTCTGAAACTTGCTGAATGTTGTCATCTAGTAGAGGTTGATGGTCGTCCTACTCCTTCTTCATGCATTATTCTTGTTCGGCCACTTTTTAATTTCTGTATCCACAAAAACACAGTTCTGGGTGATAGTGCACTTCACCCATATTGCGATGATCATCTGCGATTTCTGAACCTTTGACACCCTCTAACCAGAGAGATCGTATCACTGCTTGTTGTTCCTCTTTGAGGCAAACTTGTAATGGAGGCGTCATGACCTATTGGCAACAGAAGGAAGAAAACAGGAGGAATTAGGATCAAACTTTCCTAGCAACATCCACAACAGTATAACAATAAAATAATTGAGGACAGAAGTCAGTGTGGACAATGTAAGAAGAGATGGAATTCAAGAAAGGTAAAGAAAGGAGAGACATGTGAAGACAAACAACAGTGAAAGTGATGGACATTAAATTGGATGAATTCACAAAATGTGAAGAAATGAGAGACAAGGACAAAGAAGGTGGGGCTGTAATGGACACTGGAAACAAGAATGTCTAAGAAAAACCCTAAAGTGAATGTTGATGAGAAGCCTAAGGACCAGTCTTCTTCATTATCAAAAGAATTGCACAGGATAGAGCAGAATCCAGGAATGGATTGGGAACTAGATGTGACATATAATGATTCAAAATACTCTTATGCAGCCAAAATAAGCAGTCTGAATGCTTTGAAAGAGTTACAGAGACATCACAAAACATCAGAAAGAGGCAGCGGGTTTTTTTTTTTTGGGCCACTTAGTGAAAAAAGAAACACTGGACTAAGTTGTGATAACTGGAAATTTAGAGAGAGGGATAAAGGCTAGAAGATTCTTAAAAGCCTTTTAAAGGAAGAGAAGATTTTTGACAGCCTTCTAAAGGAAGAGAAGATTTTTGACAGCCTTCTAAAGGAAGAGAAGATTTTTGACAGCCTTCTAAAGGAAGAGAAGATTTTTGACAGCCTTCTAAAGGAAGAGAAGATTTTTGACAGCCTTCTAAAGGAAGAGAAGATTTTTGACAGCCTTCTAAAGGAAGAGAAGATTTTTGACAGCCTTCTAAAGGAAGAGAAGATTCTTGACAGCCTTCTAAAGGAAGAGAAGATTTTTGAAAGCCTTTTAAAGGAAGAGAAGATTTTTGACAGCCTTCTAAAGGAAGAGAAGATTTTTGACAACCTTCTAAAGGAAGAGAAGATTTTTGACAGCCTTCTAAAGGAAGAGAAGATTTTTGACAGCCTTCTAAAAGGAAGAGAAGATTTTTGACAGCCTTCTAAGGGAAGAGAAGATTTTTGACAGCCTTCTAAAGGAAGAGAAGATTCTTTACAGCCTTCTAAAGGAAGAGAAGATTTTTGACAGCCTTCTAAAGGAAGAGAAGATTTTTGACAGCCTTCTAAAGGAAGAGAAGATTTTTGACAACCTTCTAAAGGAAGAGAAGATTTTTGACAACCTTCTAAAGGAAGAGAAGATTTTTGACAACCTCCTAAAGGAAGAGAAGATTCTTGACAACCTTCTAAAGGAAGAGAAGATTTTTGACAACCTTCTAAAGGAAGAGAAGATTTTTGACAGCCTTCTAAAGGAAGAGAAGATTTTTGACAGCCTTCTAAAGGAAGAGAAGATTTTTGACAGCCTTCTAAAGGAAGAGAAGATTCTTTACAGCCTTCTCAAGAGAAAGAAGTTTTTTGCAACCTTCTAAAGAAAGAGAAGATTTTTGACAGCCTTCTCAAGAGAAAGAAGTTTTTTGCAACCTTCTAAAGTAAGAGGAGATTCTTAAAAGCCTTTTATCATTGCATGGAAGGGTGTCAGCCCATGAAATGATTGCACATTGTTGATCACCAGATGTGATGAAAGAATTGTCCATAGCAGTCATCAAAGCACTTGAGGGTGATAATGATGATTGTTGTTTCTACTGATATTTATTAACACTTGGGATGCAAAGGTGCTGCACCACATGTGGTGCACCAGGTTTAATACTGGTAGAGACTTATCTACACCTCTCCACTGGCCAGTGTAGATAAGATCAATGTTTCCTTTGAAGTCAGAGCATGAGAGGCAGTCTCTACAGAAAAAAAAAAGCTACATCTATAAAAGACTCAAGTCATGGAACAAGACCAAAGTCCAGTAGTAGATGAACAGCCAGGACTTTACGCCAGAGTTTACAGCCAGTAAATGTGAAAAAGTATTTAAACACTATATTTTTTTTTAATTTTAAATTTATACAGACTATCAGAGTGAAGAAGTATCGGGAGCTAAAGGAGAAAGAACTTGAGGAGGACCGAAAACTACAGCTTGAGGAGGAAAAGAAGCGGCAGATAGAAGAAGAAATTAGAAAAGCAGAGGAGAAGAAATTAAAAAGACAAAAACTGGAACAACAGGTATAGCTTTCTTTTGCACGGTATATTATAACCATTATTTGTCATAGTTTTTCTTTTTTCAATAGCCCATTTATGTATAATATAAAATTAACCCTTTTTGTTTGTATAGCTCTATTCTAGTTATAAATTGTACCATTTATATTCTCATCTTGTAGTTGTCTGTTATACTCACTACTTCATTAATTTGATTGTCTTGTCTGTTCTTCTTCTTCTTTAGCAATCCAAGTCCTTGGGGCTCATTGCTGCAGATATTAACCGTCCCCATTCATCTCTGTGATTGACCTTCTCTTTCCAGTTGATGACTCTGTCCACCAATTTCTGCCTCATTGTTTACTCTCGTTAAACTTTTTTTTAAATGCAGTTTTACTCTCTGTTGTTTGTTATTCTCTCTATATGCCGCAAATGGTACAGTCTGTTGGTCCTTATGATGCCAATAGTTATATAGCCCTAATGTTGTCTATAGGTAGTCGCCGTGGCGGAGCGGGTACATGCTCGCCTGCGGATCGAAAGGTCATGGGTTCGCTCCCTGGAGCCAGACTTTTTTTCAACAGTGACCTTGGCTCCCAGGTCGGCCCAGCCTTGAGTGGGTACTGGGTGCAGTCCCGGGAAGTAAAGGCGGCCGGTGTGATGCTGACCACATCACCCATCTTATGCCGACTGGTCTATAAAATATGGGTCTAGCCCTATACGCCTAAATTCGTTTAAAATTGTCTTTTACTTACCTTTACATACCTTTACTTTACTTCACTTACCTTTACTTTACTTACTTTTAATGGTGCCCGTAATTATGTCTCTGTACTGCCTACTTTATTTAATTATCTTTTCAATTAGGAGCTGGAGCTAAGAGACAAAATCATGAAGAATTTCAAGGCCAAGGAAGAACAGCAGCAGGAGAAGCAAAGAGAGGAGCTCAGGTCAGTGTTTGAAAAAGGTCAAGGATACAAAAGAGTAACTCTTTTAGGCTATTGATACTTCTGCTTAGCATTCACCTTTTGTAAACTCCGGCAGAAAGTTCTGGTTGGTTCGTCCGCCTCCAGACAATGGTCTGGTTCACAACTTGAATTCTGCATGCACATCCATTTTACAGATCTGGGTTATTTGTATGCAGACTGTTGGTTCCTCACCTCTCAAGCAGATGCACTCTGACTTGAAAGAAATGACCCCTAAATTAGTCACCTTTTACAATCTGCTTTGAGGAAAGGGGGGGGGGTAAGGCCTATATTCTTTGACATTGGGATCGTGGACCCTCACATAAAGAGAGCCTTAATACATAAACACACACTGTTCTAGTCATTATCTTTTTCTGTACTGAGCCAGAGTTATAGTTCCTTATTCCGTCCCAGATTACTAGATCGTTAACCCGTATTGGTCAATAAAAAAATTTTTAAAAGGTAAGAAAGCACCCTTCTTAGACCACTTGCATATATATCATTAGACTCAGTTTTAAAAGACCATTTGGCAATTAATGAGTGATCCGTCTGTCAGTCAGGGTTCCAACCTCATCACATAAATGCTTTGTTCTTTCTGCAGTGATAAATACACATCGCCATCCCATGTGAAGAACAAACAGACAACAGTTCCTTGCAAAATCAAACAGCTTGCATATATATCAGGTACATGAGGCAGCCACCAAAGGTGCCAATACATACAGTCTATCACTAGAATTGCCACTTATAGTTAATAGAAGCAGCATTAACGTCAAACCAGCAAATGCACAGATATTATTCTGCAGTGGCATCCAGCTTGGTTCTACCATGTGAAGGTGAGGCAGGCTTGAGCAAGAGAGGCTGAGAAGACACTAAGAGTCTTGTATTGCGCATCACTGCACCATTAGGACCCTGCTCAGTCAGTATTGTGGTCAAAAATATCAAAAACGGAACTGATTAGTCACCTCATGTGTTATGACTTAGAAAATTTAAATGCAAATACTTCACTCCAGTGACAGTATCTTTTGTTGGATTTTCTTTAGTCTGTTTCCTGCCTGTGTTTATCACTTGTTACCATGAAAAGATATCAAACAAATGAAAAATTAGAACCAGTCAGCTTCACATTATCACAAACACAAACGACAAGTGAACGTTGCAGCTAGATAGCCTTCATCATTGTCTTACATGAATATACAATATCACAAACAGGAATAAGCAACGGAATCAGTAGAGAAACAAGATTATTATGGCCTGGAGAGAATGAGGCACCTGGGTGTACCCAGAGGGTATAGCCGGCTCACTACACTCAGAGGAAAGGCAAGACGGACATACAACCAGATTGTGACTGGTACCATCAGTATTGGAACTCTGCGCTAGCATGGGAATGCCCCAAGTGCTGTGGTGTCAATTCTTGACTCAGCTCAACTCGACTATACAATATCACAAATACTAACAAGAGTACACAAAATCACTAAGCTGATGTATCTCAGAGAGAAATCACATTATCTCAGAGAGAAGTCACATAATCTCAGCGAGAAATCACATTCTAGCCAGTTGAATCTCTTACACTCCAGAAATAAGTACAAGCCAGGAAAAGCTGTGAGCTGCAAGGGCTGTAATGCAAAAAAATACAAAATTTTCCAAAATCACGAATGTTACCAAAGTTTAGGGTGGTGCAGAGCAGCAGTTCTTAACCTGTGGGTCACGACCCTTTCACAGGGGTCGCCTAAGACCATCGGAAAACATATTCATTGAAGTTATAAAGTAGCAATGAAAATAATTGGCTGGGGGTCGTGAGGAACTGTTTTAAAGGGTCTCTGCATTAGGAAGGTTGAGAACCACTTGTATAGAGGATGAGGATGGGTCTTGAGCCTGAGCATTCAACGCTGCATGGCTGACGGCATTTGAGAATTCAGTCAAAATTGCTTTGTCACTATCATGTGCCCTGCCAACTGGCGTAGGCACTCATGCGTCTCCACAGATCACGATCCCTAGTTGCCTGGAACAGCTCTCTTGATTCCTCCAAGCCATCGTTTAAGCCCATCCAGCATCGTCTCTCTTGGTCTGCCTCTGCCTTTTTTTTTCCACTGATCTTTCCAGTTATCACGATGTTTTCCAGTGTCTCTCTTCTCAGTATGTCCCCAAAGAACAGTGTTTGTCAAAATTGCTTAGTTACAATAATATCAAATAATAGTTATTTTCTGGAGCAGATAATTTTATTTTTTCAAACGATCTGGCACACTAAGATAGTAGTTATTTTAGGGGAAATTCTCTTCTGTAGGCTGTCACACACTGAAATATTAGCTGTTTTGAGGCAAATTCTCATCTTTAGGCTCTCACCACCAAAACATTAACTGTTTTAAAGAAAGTTTTTATCTTCTCTACACAGTCTCATACCAGATTATTAAAAATGGGTGGTTCAGAGAGAGCTAATATTACTCTTTATGCCAAATAAATTTATTCTGTTTTCTGTGCAGAAAAAAGCTGGCTGGAACAGGAAAGCTAAAAAGTGCCGTCATCATGAACAAAGCTGGCAGTGGTGGGTCAAAGAAAAAAGGAATACGACAAAAGAGTAAAAAAGGTGCTTTGGAGATTGGCACCAGTGATGATGAAAAAGAAAGTAGTGGTGATGTTGTAAAACCAAGAAGCAAAAGCCAGGCAAACAAATTGAGCCATGGGAAGACGAAGGTGCCAGTTGGGCAGAAACAAAACATGGCAGTCAAACCAAAGTTGAAAAGACTGCACTCAGAATCGTCATCCTCCCAGGCATCATCCTCATCTGATGATGATGGGGAAGAGGAGGATAGCGATGAGGAAATGGTCAACAGTGAACATAAAGATCTCAGCAGTGCACAGAGGTAAGTTGATTTTATGTATTTTTATAAGCTTTATTAACTATGATGTTGTTTATTTGTCTGGGGGAAAATGGCATATTTGATTTTTTTGCTATTTCCGGATAAGCTATCGAGCTGAAATTTTACACATGCACAATTTGCTAAAAATATTCTGAAACAGTTGTTGTTTTATTACTTTTATTAGCAGTATACCACAGCAAGCAGTGGTGTACAGACCTAGCAGGATTCGAAAGAGAGGCAGACCATGCACACGATGGACTGAGAGGATAACAAAGTAATTGAGAAACCTCATAAATTGAGAATCTTCAAATATGAAACACACAAACGATCACATTCTTATAAATTATACTTCACCTCGAACCACAAAGTACATGAGGATCTACGTAAAGGACTTTCCCTGCATGGATTGGCCTTGATCTGCCATCTGTGCACTCATAAATAAATCTTCCTCTTCCTAGTGGATGAGTGGTCAACATGTCTTATGATGGGCAAAAAACAACGCAAGAGAATCAAAATGAGTTTTGAGATACATGCTTTTGTTTACAAGCTAAGTAAAAAATACTAGCCTGCGCTGTTTATGGCGACTGCACTAGCCAAACAGCCTTAAGTCACTAACACATAAAAGGCAACTAATTAGGTCTTTTGCTGATATTTAATGTGCAATGCTGAAAGGTCAGCTGGATCAGGCCCAGTGCAACTTCTGAGCAAACCGAAGTGCTCAAGACCTTAGCTTCACATTCCGACAAATGAGTGAAAAAGCCCTTGAATATAAGAGTGAGATACACCCATGGTTTTTTTTTTGGTTCTGTTTTTTATCTAGAAAAGGCATTTGATAAGGTTCCCTGGAGCAAGTTTTGTGACTTCTTGGCAGGGAAGAACTTTCCAGCACCCCAATCAGTTCAGTTCAGAGTTCATGAAAAGAAGAAGTTATGAATGTTATTGCCATAAGTTTGTTAGAAAAAGAAGAAGTTATAGATGTTGTTGCCATATGTCTGTCATGAAAAGAAGAAGTTATGGATGTTATTGCCATATGTCTGTCAGGAAAAGAAGAAGTTATAGATGTTATTGCCATATGTCTGTCACAAAAAGAAGAAGTCAAAGTTGTTCATGCCATATGTCTGTCACGAAAAGAAGAAGTCAAAGTTGTTCTTGCCATATGTCTGTCATGAAAAGAAGAAGTTATGGATGTTATTGCCATTTGTTTGTCGCAAAAAGAAGTTATGGATGTTATTGCCATATGTCTGTCACGAAAAGAAGACCTTATAGATAATATTACCATATGTCTGTCACACACAGAAAAGAAGTTTAAAATTGTTTTACTGTTTGTCTGTGGTGACAGTGCTGCGATTGTTAAAAATCTCATCCTATTTCTTGCAGGGCTGGCTCATCATCCGTCTTGGAAAGAGTTCTCAGGGCAAACCGCATGCGTGCATGGAGGGAACCGGGTGACCGATTGGAAAGTCCACCACCAGTGGAGAACCAGAGAGGTAGAGGCAGGGGGAGAGGTTTCAGTGACAGAAGAGTCGAAAGAGACATTAGGAGTAAAGTCGGAGGTCTAGCTCGAGGCAGGTCTGGTGATGTGGAAGACCAGAAAGATAACAGGGACAAGAGCGGGAGCTCTGAGAGGAGTAGGAGTCGGGAGAGAAGAAGAGATCGGTCTGATAGTCGTGAAAGGGACTTAAACACATTACCACCACCACCGATGCCTCGCCGTGGAATGTTGCCCCAACTAGGGCCAGGAATGATGACGCTCCCACCTCTACCACCTCGACCAATGCTACTACCTCCTCCTTTCCCAATGCAGTTCCGGCCCCCGTTTCATCCTCGGGGACGGAGCCCGAGAGGCATGCCTGTGATGCCGATGAGAGGCATGCCAAGAGGAATGCGGGGAATGAGGATACCCCCAGTGCCTCCTGGATTCAGAGGTGGGCTGCATGTTTTCAACAAGAGCTACCTGCGAAAGTATAACCAATTCCTGGGTATGGCTAATCAGATGAGGGACATGACAGGGAGATATGCACAGCCATTACAGATGGCCCCACCACGTGCTCCGCCACATTTTCGTAACGATGATGATGAACTTGGTGATCGACGAAGTAGAGGTCATAGAAGGCGTCATCATCGCCATCGTAGAAGTAGAGACAGAAGTGAGAGAAGCAGAAGTAGGCACAGGAGTAGGAGCAGAAGTAAGCACAGGAGTAGAAGCAGTAGTAGGCATCGAAGCAGTAGTAGGCATCGAAGCAGTAGTAGGCATAGGAGTAGGAGTTATGATAGCCATAGGAGCAGCAGAAGTAGGAAAACCAGAAGTGAAAGTAGAAGCAGAAGTAGAAGTACAAGCAGACGTAAGGGTGATAGAAGCAGAAGCAGAAGCCGAGGTCACAGCAGACACAGAGATGAAACTCAAAGCAAGAGCAGAAGTAGAAGCAAAAGTGAAAGGAGAGACAGCAGAAGTCGGAGCACACACAGAGATAAAAGAAGTCAAAGCAGGGACCAGAGCACACACAGGGATCGGAGCAGAGGTGAAAAAAGCAGCAGCAGAGACAGAACCAGAAGTGAAAGCAAAGACCACAGCAAAAGCAGGAATGACAGTGATAAGGAAGAAAGGGAACAAAATTAAAATGTTAGCAGAAGTAATGGTAGTGATAGACTGGCAGAAGCTGCAGTAGAAGGAAAGTAAAATATGTTGGTTTATGTTGTTTAAATATAGAAATGTTTTAAAGAATTCCAACTACTAACAGATCTGAAATGTAAAATTAGACCATAATGAGAAATATATTTGACACAAACATTAAATAGTTGTGTTTGCTAGTGTTATTAAAGAAAAATGTATCATTATGTACTTCAGATTTGGAAAGTGTGGTGGCACGGGGTAAGAAAAATCAAGATAATGGCATTGTTCAATGAAATAGATATTGCCTCAAAATGGAGATATAAGCATGAATATATGAAACAAAGGTATTTGCTTAAATAGAGCTGTTAGCACCAGATGTAGAGACATAGATACCAGGTGGAGAAGCAAAGATTTTGGTACCAGATGGAGAAATGTAGGTATTGGTACTAAACGGAGCAACAGAGATACTGGTACCAAGTGGAGAAACAGACTGATACCAGATAGAGACACAGACATTGCCTTGATACGAGATATTGGAATTGAATGTCCTAACAAACACTACTGATTGCTGATTTAAGGAAATGACCTTATAGCACACAGGACATACTTGTAGATGCTCCGTCTCCTACAGCAGATGTTTTAAGGTGTAGATACTAACTGTGCCAGCAGCCATGATAAACTTATTTTGGAGCAGGAAGGTTGTCCTGAGTAGGATAGTAAGAGGCATTCCGAGGCAGGAGAGATTCTTACAGCTACATGTCCTATCTGGACCAACAGCCATTTTATAGCAGGAGAGGTTTCTGCAACTTTCTGACCTATGTAGGGCAAGAAAAAGCAGTTATGTTGCACAGGAGAGATGTCTACTACTGTGTGTCCTATCTGGGCTCAGAGGAAAGGTTATTTTAAAGCAGGAGAGATTTCTGCTACTTCCTAACTTGTGTAGGACAAGAAGAGGCCATTCTCTGGTGCAGGGGAGAATACAACTTTGTGTCCCAAGTCCAGGGAATGACTGATAACAAAAAAATCAACAAACACAGAACACAATTTTGATATTTTTACTTGTATATATAATATGTGCTTCAACATAATTTAACTTTGTACAACTTCAGAAAGAACCCGACAAAATTGAGTCTTTTTCTGTTGTCACCCATAAAAGGGTGGTTGGCACAGAGTTTTTGGTTTACGGCTAGGCTGTGATATCTGTGCTTTTTGGTCCAACCTATCTGATTTCATGGGGAAATGGGTGTGGCCTCAAAGCAACAACAACAGAAAAGTGCATATTCTTTTATTCTTCTTCCTTTTGGCGTTTACCAGCTGTAAACTCCGATAGAAGGTTCTAGTTTGTCCATCCTGGACTTTTGGCCTGTTACAGAACTTGAGTTTTATGTGTGCATTGGTTTTACGGATCTAGCTTATTTGTATGCAGACTGTTGGTGACTCGCCTCTTAATTCTCTGAATTTAAAGGAAATACCTCTGATTTGTCGACTTTTAAGACATGCTTGTTGGGAGGGGGGGGGGCAGTGGATCTGTTCTTTTGGGGGTTTTTGTCTCCCACAATGGGACCTAGGAACCCACATGGGGAGATATTATTTTCAAGGCATCACAAACCAGTTAATACCTTTAGGTACTCTACAAGACCGTGCAGGTGAGAACCAGATTAGGTTAACTGTTTGGGTATCATGGAACACATCATGTATTTATTGATAACTAACTGAACGGTTCTCTGGTACTGAAAGTGTTAACAGATATAGACTGTTCTATACACACACAATTTTCCCCTTCTATTTCTTCGTATAGTCCATATCGTGTGGCGTTAGTAGTCGTATCTGTCCACAACCTTCTGTTGTGTATTTTCAGTCAGGTTCTTACTCTGCAGATTTTTCCATGCCATGATGTCAAACTGTTTAGCATCTTCTTTCTCTGTCTCCCTCTGCCTCGTTCCGCATCCAACTTTCCCACCTTTGCAATTAGTTTTCCCATGGTGAATTCAAATAATGAAGACACAGACATTCAAAACTAGCCACTACACTTCCAAGCTCCCGCAGGAAATGTGCCAGGCAAACAAAAGTGTACAAAGGGATGTTTGTAACTGCATTTTTTTTTCTTCTCTGTGCTCTTGACAGAAAGTTATGGTTGTTCATCCACTTCTGAACTTTAATATTGTTCAAAAACTTGAGTTTTGCGTACACATCCATTTTACAGATTTGGCTTATATGTACACAGACTATTGGTTCCTCACCTCCCATGCAGGTACAGCCCAACTTTGAAAGAAACAACCCTCTGTAGTCAGCTTTTGCAATGTGCTTGTTGGGGACCAGTGGGTCTGTTCAATATCCCCCCCCCCCACACACACACACACACACAATGGGGACCTGGAACCCACACAGGGAAAACTGCATTATTTATTAGATAAATTTTTTGGCATGTGTAATATTTGAATGAAGGCTGGGCACCAGCAGCAGTCACTTCATCACATAAAGACACAAGAATACAGTCGACCCCCACCCTGATGATACCTGTATACGAGACAAATCTCACATCATGTTGGAATGTTTTAATTGTAAATAGAAATTGTTTTGGAAAGCACAACATCTCACACATGTGCTGTAGTGAGCGTTTTTTAGCCAGTGGACCACGGACTGCTGGTGGTCCATCAAAGATTTCTGCCTGATCTTGTGGCAGCTACATGATTCCAGCCTACATTGCTGCGTACATTTTATAAGGAGCGGCGCAAGAGCTTCTTCATCTTCTTAGCGTTCACCGGTTGTAATCTGCAGCGGAAAGTTCTGGTTTTTTTTTGTCAACTTCTGGACTTTTGTCTCGTTCCGGAACTTCAGTTTTGTGTGCACATCTGTTTTACAGATCTGGCTTATTTGTGTGTATAATAATGCTTCCCAGTCTCATAGGCAAATGCATTCTGATTTAGAAGGAAACAGCTCTGTTAGTTTCCTTGTAGGACAAGCCTGTTTGGGGAGAGCGGCAGTGAGTCTATTCTTTCCCCCAAAATGGGGCGCCCGGAACCCACACAGCTCATTTTTGTATGAGCTGAAAATTGTTAGTGTCATTATCTACATTTTTACATCTGAGTCAGAATTGATTACAAATACATGACAGAAGATTGTGGATAGACATGGCTAACACCACATTTCATGGACCACGGCCAGCTTTAGATATAAGGCCGTACAGCTCAAACGGGACTTCCGTTTTTGTGAGGCTGGTGTGGCTGGTCGGTGGTAACAATTCTTATCAAGTAGATTTACACACAAGTTGAACTACAGTTTTAATAAATTTGCCAACATGTGTTATTGAATAAATTATCATTTTGAAGATAAATATTTTCTAATAACCCATTTATTTATCTTCAAAATATTAATTTATTAAATAACACATGGTGAAAATTAATTAAACTTGTTCAGTTTGTGTATAAATCTACTCAATATCAGTTATTACCACGACCGGCCATGCCAGCCTCACAAAAATGGGAATTCCCATTTTGAGCTGTATGGCCTATATCTGGATCTAGTCATGACATGGACTATTTAAGAAGAAAAAAAGGGTAAACTTTTTAAAAAACATTTATAACTCAGCTGTCAGGTTGTCCACAAAAAATTTCCTGTTTTATTGGTCTATCATTGTAAAAGGTTGAAGAACACAGCTATATAGTACCCACATTTGTAATTGGTGCAAAATTATGCTGTTCAATTTGTGAATTAATGTGTTTTTTTGAGAATATTTTGTGTATAGTAAAACAAGGCCTGTAATTGTAATGGATTTGTTTTGGGTTTTTTGTTTGTTAATGGTTTGTGTTTATTGCTCTGCTGTGTAAAAGCTTCCTTTGCTAGTTCTATTCTGTTGTTTTACTGAGTTGTCTACTCTTGGCATATCATTGTTATTTGTAAAACAAATACTGCGGTCTCCACTGTGAAGGTAGTCTGCCATGTGTCCTCTGCTAAGTAAAGTTTTTTTTTTTTTTTTTTAAAGGAAAAGACCCTTTTCCCTGCCTTTGGGCATATGGGGCTAGGCTAGACCTATATTTTATAGACCAATTGACACTTGATGGGCGATGTAATCAGCATCATGCTGGCCACCTTTACTTCCCAGGACTGCACCTGGTACCCACCCCTGGCTGGGTGGACCTGGGAGCCAAGGTCATTTTTGTTTTGAGTTCCAGCTTGGTCAGGACCCAAATCCATGACCTTCCGATCCACAGGCAAGCGTCTAGCCGCTACACCACGGCTACTCATGCTCTGCTAGCTATGGGAAAATTATATCATGAGACCCCAGGCTCTTTCACAATGCGACACTTACCGCTGTCTAAAGCCATGGGTTTTTTTTTTCTTTTTTCTAAACCACCCAACGCCACTCTCACTCAGTCACTGAGAAAAAAGATTGGAGCTTTTGAATTGAAAATTCTTAGAATACCATGGATCAAGAAGAGGAAAAACATCGACATTCTAAACAAATTGAACATCAGGGAGAACTGGCTCATAAACAGCATCCTGTCCTGAAAGTGCATGTATTGTGGCCACATCAAGCGTCATGATGGCTTGGGAAAAAAACGGTGATGGAGGGTGCAGTTCGTGGAAGGCGAGGCAGGGGTTGACCACCATGAAGATGGATACAGGGCATTGAAGAAGCAGTGCCACTAAAAGCACATGGGGCCGGAGAGAAGGCTAAGGAAAGGGATACTTTCAGCCGTGCCGTGAAAAGAGCGATGTTCTTTAAAGAACTTGTCGATTGATGATGACCACCGCAGGAACTGAACCCTGGTAAATACTGCCAATTATTATTTTGTTTTTTAACTTGAAGGAAATTATTTTTTTTTTATCTATTCCACCCCACTGACGTATTGGGTAGATGGTGCCATACTCATGTTTTTATACGCTACTGAGCACTAAATGGCTGGTGTGGTTAGCAACACACTAGCCGCACTTACTTGCCAGGAATCTTCCTGGTACCTATTTTAGGCCAGGTCGACTTGGCAGCAAAGGTCGGTTATAAACAAAATCTGCCAGCTACGGAATCGCAGCCAAGACCAAACAAACAAGCAAACTTTATTTTCACATAGTCATAAACTGGGCATGCATGCCCATCTTACATTGGGCCCTTCCAAACGCTCACCTCTCAAACATCAATTGTATTTTATCAATAAAACGTGTTCCTTTAACAATAGGCACAATATATCAAGGGGAAAAGCAGAAGTGGTAAATGTATATGCACATACATACACACACCGTCACTATTAGGTTGTTGTTATATCTGTGACCGATTAAAGTCATTGTTATTTTAGTACCGCTGAGTTGTCTACTCTTGACAGTTATGACGACGACCCCCCCCCCCCCCCCCCTTCCTTTCCCTGGACAGCAACAAATCCTATCAACAACATGTCTCTCTGAGCAGCATAGTGGCTTGATGCCGGCCCAAAGGCCATGAATTCAAATATGCATCAAGTCTAATTTTTTTTTTCACAACTGATACTAGCTACCTAAGCTGGGTGCCAGGTAATGTCCTGGTAAGCAAAGGTGACCTGCGTAAAGCTGACCCACCGAAGTGCCAGTTGGTCTATTAAATATGAGTTAGGAGCAGCAATCAATAGCCCGATGCCAGTGGCACAAAACGCGGCCCTTTATTTACAGATGTCCCTCTCATTGTCCTCAAGCTGTGTCCATTTGTACTTCAGAAGGTTTCCAAGCCATCACCTGAATAAATGAAGAACTGATGTCACTGCAATCTGGACACTCCTAGGCGTGCTCCATTTCCTTCAGTAGACAGTGAAGAGATAGATCCCATGCTGATGCTGCCAGTGGCAAGCTGTTAAAAAGTACACAACTCTTTTTCCTCATACCTTGTTGTGCACTGAGTGATATCCAGATCTTCTGCTCTCACTTTAATCTCACTGGTTATGGATACTCTGATGCACTCGATTTTAGAGTCTTCTGCATGTCCTAATGGAGCAACGATGCGCAATACAAGACTTTTAATGTTTATTAGCCTCTCTTGCTCAAGCCTACCTCGCCTTCACGTGGTGGACCCTGTTCTTCCCAGCAATCCAGTTGAAGGTTGGGGTCTAAATCCCCAGCGGGAAACTGGATGGGACAACAAACGAGGTAAAGGCAAAAGACGAATGGATGAGCCCACTCTCCTCAAGTATGACCACAGTCTACCCTTGTAAAACAAGGTGCTGAAGTCGGAGGCAACCAGCCAGGAGGCGCACCACAGCAATCAGGATGCCACGCACACAGGCCATGGAAATATGTCTGCCTTATAAAGTATCTTGCTGCCCAGTGGAGCAGCAGCAGCCTACTCATTGCCCAGCACACCCACATTATTCTTCTGGTATTATATATGTTTTTATTCATGCTTTGCGGCTTTAGCAGCTTTCTTCTCCTTGCTGAGCAGGTGTTCGTGTTGAAGATTTCTTCTGAATCTTCAATCGCCTTGATTCAGCAAATAGCTTCTGTCGCTCATCTTCAGATTGTTGTCTTTCTTTTGTGGCTATTATGTGCTCTTTCTCCTCTTCTTCCAGCATTGCGCTTAGTTCTTTGTCCCACTGAAACAGAAACAATCAAAACACATCTGCTGTCTTCATAGGAAAAAAATACATCAAAACAGAAACTTTTCTTTCAATATTATGGTCACTTTTACTTCTCAAATAATTTCCAGCTTCCTTTTTTTTTTTTAACTGGCTCAACCTGAGAGCCTTCTTCTTCTTAGTGTTCGCTGGCTGAAAACTCTGGCAGAAAGTTCTGGTTGTTCATCCACTTCTGAACTCTGATCTTGTTCCAGAATCTGAGTTTTATGTAAATATCCATTTTACAGATCTGGCTTATTTGTATGCAGACTGTTGGTTGCTCGCCTCTCAGGCACATGCATTCTGACTTAGCGAAATATGTGGATCATTCTTTAGGACGTTTGCTTGAGCTGGAACACAAACAGTAAATTCATCACATGGAATCAGTAGATACTCCCGTTCTCAGAAAATTAAATAATTTAACCAAATTAATTACAAAAGATTTAACCTTTTTACAGACACTGCTTCAATTTGTGGACAAAGACCTTGTCACTCCGGCAGCGTCAGAAGAGAAGAAAAACACAGCCCTCTCTGGAAGCAGACGGGCAAACCTAAATTATCCACTTCAGAAATTTGGGAGTTGGAACTCTTGCTGGGGATTCTTCAACAACCTAAACTACCAACTGAACCACACTGTTATAAATAAAACTACCATCTAACTGAACCACACAGTTATAAATAAAATTACTATCTAACTGAACCACACAGTCATAAATAAAATTACTTTCTAACTGAACCACACAGTCATAAATAAAATTAATATCTAACTGAACCACACAGTCATAAATAAAATTACTATCTAACTGAACCACACTGTTATAAATAAAATTAATATCTAACTGAACCACGCAGTCATAAATAAAATTACTATCTAACTGAACCACATGGTTATAAATAAAATTACTGTCTAACTGAACCACACAGTTATAAATAAAACTGCTATCTATATATCCAGGATACTTAACATTTCAAAATCTTATTTTTAGCTGAACAACACAGTTATAAAAAAATGTTATCTATATATCTATGATACTTTACATATCAGCATTCTTCCCTTTAACCAAAAAACAGTTTTCTTCTCATCTCATCTTGATCCCTTTGTACCTTGCGGTGTCAAGATGAAGTAAAAATTAAGGAAAGTCCCCTTTTGTGTGCTTCATAAATGGGAATTCCCAGCGAATCTGTAATTTCCTCTAGCCATCGCTTGCATGGTTGGCCTCTTCTTTACTTCCCTCCTGGTATGTACATCACTGCTTGCTGTGGTATACTGTCTGCTGACATCCGCGTTACATGGCCAAACCATTTCACCTATTGTCTTCTGACTAAATCCAGAGCTGCTGTTACCCCACCCCACCTTATTCAGATTTCATCATTTCTGATTTTATCTCTTTTTGTTATACTGACAACTCTTCGCAGGAATCTCATTTCAGTTGTTTTTTTTCTTCTTTTCTCTTTCTCAGTCATTGTCCAGATCTGGCATTGATAACGCAGGGTTGGCAGGAAGATTGTGTTATAGAGTACTCTTTTGGTTCTAGTGTGTTTGTCTTTTTGATAATGTGTGCGTGTGTGCATCTGTGTGTGTGCGTCTGCATGTGTGTGTCTGTGCGAGTATTTGTGTGTCTGTGGATGTGTTACTATATGTGTGTGTGTGTGTGTGTCTGTGTGTGTCTTTGAAGGTCAGTGTGTGTAGCATCGTGGGTATTTTTAATGTGTGTTTTTTTGATAATGTGGGTGCGTCTGCGCATTTGTGTCTGTGTGAGTGTTTGTGCATCTGTGAGTGTATTTGTAAGTATGTGTGTGTGTGTGTGCCATTATGTGTCTCTGTGTGTGTATCTGTGTCAGTTTGTGGTTGTGAGTGTCTGTGTGTGTGGCTTTGTGTGTATCTGTGTGTGTGTGTGTCTCTATCGGTGTATCTATTATATAATGTCTTCGTGTCTCTGTTTGTGTCGGTTTATGCGTCTGTCTGTGTGCGTGTGTGACTGTGTGCGTGTTTGTGTGTGTATGTGTGAGTGTTGCGTATGTCTATGTGTGTGTCTGTGTGTTTCCCTGCCTGCGTGTGTGACTGTGACTGCATGTGTGTGTCTGTGTGGGTTTATGTCTGTGTGTGTGTGTGCATATTCGAATGTATGTGTGTATTGGGTGCCTATGTGTGTGTGTGTAAGTAAGTGAATGGGGTTTGCGTGTGTATGTGGGTGTGTGCGTTCGCGCGCGAGTGTGCGCACATATTTTACCACCCATGCTTTTGTTTTTGACTTGATATTCATAATATGCATATTATTACATGAACATAACATGTTTTATTGATGGAATACAACTGCTGTGTGAAAGATGTGAGTTTGGAAGGGCCGAATGTAAAACAGGCCAGCATGCCTAATTTGTAACCCTTTGAAAAAAAAAGTTTGTTCGTTCGTTCGTTCTATTGATACGTTTGTTTTTTAGTATTGGTGCCATTTACCCAGTGAGTTGTTTTGCTTTGTTACATCTGTCATCAATCTCATCTTTTATTATGCCAGCTGATTATATTATGCTTCCTAAACAGTTTAATAAAGATTTAAAAAACAACAAATACCTGAGTATCAATAATTCTTCTTAAGTCAAAATTCTTCCTTGTGATGTAGTTAGGAATTGGCTCATATGAAGCTGCTGCTATGTCTATTTCTTGTCTGCAACAACAACAAAAAACATTGATTATGTATAAATTATTTCTTTGTTCTTATTTAAATGTAACATTCTGGATATGAAGTTAAAATAGTGAAGAAGTTAAAGCAGCAAGCGGAAGTGTTGAGGTGTTGGAAAATAAACAGATAGGCAGGCTAGCTGGCTCTGCCCCACTGGGTGTTAATTGATGTACGACAAGCTAGCTATGGTTAAGGCCCTTTGGGAGTGAGTGAATAATGCAGAAGGATGAATATGGCTATGAAAGAATGGTGCAGTGACCTGGGAGTGTGGCCAATACTCAGATAAAAGGCAAGACAGACATATAATCAAACTGCCGGTGGTACCATCAGAATTTCAATTCTCAGCTGGCTGCTTAACAGGTAGCCATGAGTGTTGACAAAGCACACACTCCATAGCTCCAGCAATCTTCTTCTTCTTCTTCGTTTACCGGCTGTGAATTCCGGTGGAAGGTCCCGGTCAATTGGCCACTTGGACTTTTGGCTTTTACCTGGACCTGAGTTTTGCGTGTACAACAGTTTTACTGTCTTTTGCCATTCCCTGCCTCATGGGTAGATGTACTCCAACTTTGAGGGAAGACATCAGGCCTATTTCTAGGATGACTGTGGCCATTGTTTTGTGTATCGAGATGTGACCTAATTTGTGTGGTGTCCTCTTTGTCCCTTTCTCCACAGGTGTTGCCCCCAGAGTACCCCCTTTGGGGCAGCCCTGTGTGGAACGGTTGGCCCTCAAGGGAAGGCAGGGGAATTTCATGGGCATTCCCCGCCATCCAAGGAGGCTTCCATAAATGAAGGGTCGTCACATAACGCTCTGGTTCTGGGCTCACCCAAGGAATTGTCACGTCCTGTACATAACTGCTTAACCTTACAACCGTATTGGGTTTCCCGCTAGACACGGGCTGCGCCCTCCGGAGATCCGTTGGTTCTGGACTTTTGTGACCCTGCAAATAGGTACAATCTTTTTCGTCACACGATTGTCATCTTTAGCATGCTGATAGCACGACAGAATGGAGAATCCTGCGTCAGGCATGTCTTTATCTGTCTGGTCCCAACACTCGGGTGAGTGGGGTCTCGGAATGTGGACATTTGGACTTTTTCCAGTCAATACAATTTATGATGGCCGGATTTTGAGCTTGCTCATGTGCCGTAGGATCTATTTTTGTCAGACATTTGGGCTTAACCAGCCGATGAATGGTTGCTGTCTTGGTGTACCTCAGCGCGGTGGTGACGACACTGAGGGTTGACAGAAGATGTACATGGGTAGAATCTAGCTGCGAGACGCCACCCACAGGAGATGTTACTCGTCTGTGCTGCGGGTAAATCTTTAGGTCAAGGGTTGAGTTTCAGCAACACAATGTTCTCTTCACCCCACAAACTTTTAACCGAATGTTGTCATTTTAGTTGTACTTTTGGCAAGCACTTTACTTATGTTCCTAATGAGTTTTGATAATCTTTTCACCCATGCGTTTGGGGGTGGGCTGATGAGAGCCACAAGGACACTACACCTCTGGGGGCCGCCAACTCTGAGATCCCCTGACAGCTCTGTTAATGCTCATTTGAGACATTATCCGTGGCGCACGACGAGGACGTGCTCCAGGAGTCTTGCGTGAGGTTCAGTAAAACCAGAGCAGTGCAGGACTGGCGCCCGAATGACATACGGAGTAACTCCTTATATACATCACATTGGACTTAACTTTACCTCACGCCTGTGACAGAAATCACCGCGCCACGCTCCAGCAATGATCCGCAGGGATTTTCCATTAGAAAAACTGCACTTGTGAACTGAGCTGCACATACGTGAACGAGCCCATGACCTTCATAGAATGAGGCAAACAGCTTGATCACTAGAGACCCCCCCAGCAAAGATAGAAGGGAGCATAATGATCATCAATTTCCACTTTTGTCGTTAAGCGTCATGGGGAGAAACAGTTTGTGATCCACTTTTTGATTGGTAGCAATGGCTACTGTCAGTCCATGTCGATGTAGGTCCTTAATGTCACCAGTCCATGTCGATGTAGGTCCTTAATGTCACCAGTCCATGTCGATGTAGGTCCTTAATGTCACCAGTCCATGTCGATGTAGGTCCTTAATGTCACCAGTCCATGTCGATGTAGGTCCTTAATGTCACCAGTCCATGTCGATGTAGGTCCTTAATGTCACCAGTCCATGTCGATGTAGGTCCTTAATGTCACCAGTCCATCTTCTAGAGCAACCTCTTGCTTTCACATCAGATCTTTTCATGTATAGTGCCTGTGTTGGTAGCTGTGGTGGCTGGAGTCTAATGAGGTGATTTGATTTTATGTTTTTCAATGAATCTGATGCATGCTGTTGTTCCCACAGTCTGTTTGATATTATTTCTCACTTTGTCTCGGATGGTTAATTTTACGGCTCTTCTCAAGTATCTCATTTTACATAATTGGACCCCACAAATATCAGAGACACTGAAAAGTACTATTTATACATAATGAAGCGAACAGATGGGCCCCTTCAAGAGATCTCTTCCTGTCCTTATGCTGTGAGGCATAGCAGATATAGAGGAAAAAAAAAGAATCTGTATAGAAGAGAGCAATTAATGAAAAAAAAAGGAAGCGGGGTGCTTACTTCAGAGTTACTCGCTGGGGTTTCACTGCTGCTGGGGTAGTTGCAGACGGCACCTGGGTGGCTGGATGAGGTCGGTGAGAAAACCTTTCCCTTGAAGTCTGTGTACCTGCTGGTGGGATGGGTGGTAAATAAGCTGTAGATAATCCGATCGCGATTCGCTGTCCAAGAGAGACAGGATGTTCTTGTAGGGACGGGTCTAGAAACTTCTTGCTGTCTATGTGTATCTGCCATTTATAGAGACGGAATTTATGCAACCATTTTTTTTTTTTTAAAAAATAATTGAAACAAATTTATTCAAGTACGCATCTTTACTAGTAAAATTTAAAAAAAAATGTTTACATATTTGTAAAGTAAAGAATCTTTTTTATGCCAGTGGCGCGTCGGGCATATGATGCTAGACTGCTGGCTGCCTTTACTTCCTAGGATATAGCCTAGAGACAGGATTTATACAACTGTTATTTGATACTTTAAAAAAATAACACAGATAAGTATTCATTCAAGTAAGCATTTATATACAGTTCTTTTTCTCCAGGATGGATAACTTACTTACTTAGTCGTTCCTCTTCTACCTTGGGGTGTGAGGCATTGCCAGACAGAGATCGCCAGACGTCTCTTATCAGCAATTTTCTTTATGGCTTTGTTCCAGCAGTCCTCTGTCAGTTAGGGACTGTCGGATGTTGTCTTACTTCAGCGCACCCTGGGTCGTCCCGGAGGTCTGGTTCCCTGGTTCTTAGCCTCCCATGCTTGCCATGGTGGCCGATTTTCTCCCATTATGCATACATGTCCAAACCATCGTAACTGTGACTGATCTTCAGGTTAGTAAGGGCTGGGTATCAAGATCTTGACCTGTCTGATTGCGGACTTTGTCCCTCTTGTCACTTGGACCACCTTTCTGAGAAATCTCATTTTCCCTGGAGTCTGCTTCTGTACCTGTTGTCATTGCCCATGACTCACACCCATAGGTCAGACTGTAGATAGGTAGAGCGGTAAACAGCCATTTTCGTCCTCTTCCATTTCTCTTTTGCTAAGAAACCCTTGTTTATGGCCTGGTCTAGAGTCTTCCAGCAGTGCTTTTCGTGTAGCCAGCTCAGTCTTAATATCCAGACGGATCTAATACAACTCCAGGTTTTGAACTGGTTAACCTTCCAACGCATACTGTCCCCATCATGATTTGGTGTTTCTTCTCCTCTCTTGAGATCACCATGGTTTTAGTTTTGGAGAAACTGATGGTCATACCTTTTTTTCAAAACTTAAAGAAGTCTTTTGGACTGAAAGTGTGCCTCTGATTTAGCTATCAGGGCCACATCGATGCAAAAGCCAGCTCTGGCTACAGATTGGTCTCCTCTTCCAGTACCCTACAGAGTACTTCTTGTCTTCTCCTTACAACTCTTGATGACATCATCCATCATAAGAAAAAAGTAAACACAGATAAGCACCTTGTCTATTCACCGTAAGCATTCTTGAATTTCTTACTTTTGGTCTCTGTTTTTACATAATTTCAGGATGGATAACCCGAGCAATAATTGTCTGCAGAATCTGAATGTGTCTGCCAAAAGTCACAGCCATGTTGTAAACAGGGTCAGCGCAGAAGAAAAAGAAGTTTTTCTGATTCTTAGCGGTCACCAGCTGAAAGTTCTTGTTGTTCATCCACTTTCACCTCTTTGTTCAAGAACTTGAACTTTTAGAGCACATTCGTTTTACAGATCTGACTTACTTGTATGAAGACTGCTTGTTCTGCTCCTTCAAGCAGATGTGCTCTGACTTCAGAGGGAAAAAATCCCTAATCAGACACCTTTTACGACATGCCTGTTAGGCAGGCAGTGGGTCTATTTTTTTTTAACCACAAAATGGGGCCCTGGAACTCATAAAAGAAGTAAATGTCTGCTGACTTTACCTTCCTGGAGATTACGTGAGTCAACCTGGGAGCCAAGTTTATTTTGTTTTTTTAATCCTTGTCAATCCAGGTTCACAACATTAGGCCCTCAAGCAAGCATCAAGCCACTGCATTACAGAATGAAATTTGTACAGACCAATCTCTTGATGGGTGATGTGGCCAGCATCACACTGGCTGCCTTTACCTCTCAGGACTTTATCTGGTACCCGTTTTAGTCTGGACTGACCCGGGAGCCAAAGTCAGTTTTGAAAAACAAATCTGCCTCAAGACATCTGAACCCAAAGCCTTCGGGTTTAAAGCAAGCGTCTAGTCACTACTAGACCATGACCCCTTTCATATATGTACAGTAACTAAAACTTTATCATGTACCATGGCAGATAGCTTCAGGATGTCAGGTTTGGTATAGACCGCCCAACAGTCATCGTTTGCAGAGACAGGTGTCAACAACAAAAATATAGCATTTGTTTAACTTTTGACTCCTAATCTCTATCACGCATCTTCCATGACTAAAACAAGAAGAGAATTACAATTACAAAAATGAAGCTTTACTAAGAAACATATTTGCATCTTTAAAGGGTTTCCTAGTGAGATGTATGACCTTTTAATTGTCTACAAAAATATATGATTTGTATTTTTTACATCACACCAAATTGAAATATTTAAAAAAAGCCATAGCATTGCTTTGCTGATCAAGGGGCGTAGTGGTCTAGAAGCATGGCGTTCGCCTCGAGTGCTAGAGGTCCCAGGTTCAGGCCCCAGTGAAGGCTGGAATTTTTTCAGGTGGACTTCTAGTAATTTTCCCTAGTCTCTGGGTAGTAAGATCGGATGCCAGTGTGTATTGTTGCGCACATAAAAAATCCCCTGGCAGTTGGAAATTTTAAAAAGTAGTCTAACGGCGCTGCCGGAACAAAATTTTGAGTTTAAAAATCTATCTAAAGTATTTCAGGATCCTTACTGGTGCTACAGAGTTCGTGCATTGCGCTAAGATTCTTCAGACTCGGGCTTGAGTTAGAAGCAGAAGGGAGCACTTATGGGTTACTACCCTTGTACCATGATGTTGATCCGCTGTTTAAACCTAAACCTAAACTGATCTGGCAGCGTCTGTGGAGACGCCATGATTTTTATTTTGTTTTCATCATATCAACAGGCTAACTTAGGAGGTGTAGGTGTTGTGGATCTGGCATTTTTCAAACCAGAACCTTACTTATTTGGCAGAGGTGTGTGGTTTTTTTTCTTTTTTTTTTTTCTGAAACTAAAAATCTTAATTATTTGTAGACATTTTGATTTTTTCTTTAACTCAGATTCAAAGACTGTTTTTCACAGCTTTCATGCAATGGTACAAGAAAAATGATTATGTGAAAGTGATTGAGGTCTCATTATGTAAAATTCCCATACTTAGCAATGGAACACCGTAGCCAAATTCCATTGTGGGGATGACACCATTTTTTTTTATGTTTCTTTCTCCTTCACGTTCACCAGCGGTAAATTCTAGCAGAAAGTTCTGGGTGTTCGTCCACCTCTAGACTTTAGTCTTATTCCAGAACCTAAGTGTTGCATGCACATCTGTTTCACATATCTGGCTCATTATCTGTACGGTTCCTTGCCTCTCAGGCAGATGTATCCTGATTTTGACGGATACCCCCAAATTAGTTTACAACAGAGCCCTAGAACCCACATTGGGATTTTTTAAAATTGTATCAAATTCGTTTACTAGCTTTACCTGTGAAACTTTGAGGGCTTCTGTCACTCGCACATCTTTCTCCTTAGCATTAGCCTTGAGCAGGGCACTCCAAGCAATGCTTCTCAGACCCTCTCGTGTTTTGTCGTCTTTCAGACATTGGCAAATTCGACCCAGCGACTGCATGGCTGTAAACCTGATTCTCCAGCTCCAATCAACTTGCTTCATTTCTAAATATGTGTGTTTTAAAAAAATAATCAAATGCAAAAAAACAATAAAATTTAAAAAACACAACAATAAGTAAAGAATAAATTTGTAAAAATAATCACAATATAAAAAAGCCTCAAATACCCAAAGGATACATCTGTAAAAAATTATTTGAAATGTAAAAAAAAAATTTTTAAACATTAATGAATAAATTTGTAAAAATAATTACAGTGCAAAACACAAAATAAGTAAAGATCGAATTCGTTCAAAAAATAATTACTATGTTAAAACAGAAATAAGTAAAAGACAAATCTGTAAATATAATGACAATGCAAAACATAAAAATAAGTAAAGGATAAATTCGTTCAAAAAAATTCTAATGTTGAAACAAAAATAAAAAAGGATAAATTTGTAAAAACAATTACATTGTTTAAACAAAAATTTTTTTTTTTACCGTGTAAACAACCCTTTAATGCCAACGGCACATCAGATCTATGGTGCTAGACCCATAGTTTGGTAAACCAGTCAGCTTCGGATGGATGCTGTTGTCAACTTTACATTCTATGAAATTTCCCTTTAAGACTCAGTTGAGGGTTGGGTGGGGGGCAATCTCTGATCAATAATAAAAATCCATCTCTGGTAAAAATTCCTGGCTGTTTGTCCATTTATGGACTTGGTCCTTGTTTCCTGACTTTAGTGTTGTGTATACATACATTTTACAGATCTGGCTTATTCGTGTGCAGACTGCTAGTTTCTTGCCTCTCAAGCAAATATATTCTGACTTTGAAAGAAATGTTGATCCTATTTACGTTGGCCATTGTGTCTGTTAAAGCACAGCCGTGATATTTGCATCTTTCAGCAAGCACGACTAACCTCCCGGATTAGCTTCTTGATTTGGTTTGTACAAGACACCATTTTATGTGGACTTTTTTTTTTTTAGTTACAAAAAAATAGCAATCACCACCATCAAGAAATAATTCAGATTTGGATGTTTTTTTTTTTTTTTAAAGAGGAAAGAACTAAAAAAAATACATGCCTTAACCTGATAATTTAGAACTTAAGTTTAAAAAAAAATCTTATCTTCATCAAATAATTTTGAGTTTTAAAACAAGCAAGAAGACGATGAAGAGATAATATCCAGACAGACCTACAAACACTTGTGTCACCAACTGGAAAGAGAAGGGCAACCAGAGAGATGAATGGAGGTGGATGATATCAAAAGATAAAGAAGAAGGAAACAAACACAGAAAAAATACATCCACAAAAAGAAAGAAAAATCGCACACTTTAACCAAATAATTAAGAAGTTAATTTTATTTGAAAATCCCACCTTCAACAAATAACAGATATTTAGTTTCAAAAGAAAGAAAAAAATACACACCTTTGACAAGTAAGCCAGATTCTGGTTTGTAAAATGCCAGATCCACAAGACAGAGACCTCCCAGATTAGCCTGTCCATGGCAGTGAAATTCTGATATGCCCTGGCCACCAATAAGAGCATATTTCTGAACAGCTGAAGTGCTGCCAAATAATACAATGTTCTCCAGAACTTCTGTGTAAGTCTGAGCAATTTCCCAGTACCAATCAAACATTCCTGGCATTTGTTGCAGCTGTATAGAAGAATTTATTTTTAATGTCAATTTAATATTATATTTTTTCAAAACAAACTTTACACCTTTTCGTCTTTTCTTCTTCCTCATTCGCCCTAAAAAATAAGGTTGACCTATTTGTGTTATAGTTTACAGCTAGGCTGCAAAATTTTAAGGAAAATGCATCAGACTAGTTTTTTTTTAATACAAAAACAAAAGTATACACATGAAAAGCCAACAACAAATGACACCTTAATAGCTAGATTAATGTCTTTTCTAGAATGCCTTAAAGGGCATCCCTAGGATTCTCTTGCAGTCTTGTAGCATGTAAAGTTTGTAGTTTTCTGAAGATTCAGTGACATCAATGCTCAAGGCTGATATAAACAGCGGGTGACTGCAGTCAAGCCGATTGCAAGAAATGCTAAACAAAAATCAAAATGTCACCAGAAAGCTCAACATAGGGAATGGAAAAGACAAATACAAACACAGCCAAACATCATGTTGACCTTGATTTTTATTTTTATTTTTTAAATTATTAGCTCTATTGTCTTATCCACTGAGTTTTCAAGTCACAGTTTGTGATGTATTTAGTTTTCCATTGTAAAGACTTTGGTCGAATTGTTCGGTTGTGTTTGTGTGCCTCTTTCAAGTCAGATTTTGTGTTATATTAAGCAATCCATGCTCAAGGCTGATCCTACTTGTATTTAATCCTTAGTATCTAGGAAGACATTTCCAAGACACCCCTACACAGAAGTGAAAGTACATCTTAGTACATAGTCCTGGTATATCAATAATAGGCTACCCTCCAAATAACGGTCCCAAATTATCGAGGCTAAGAAAATACCCTAATAGGGCCTCAATTTTTGTGACTGTGCCGCCAGGAAACCGATAAATATTCAGTAAACAACACGCGACTAGTGCTGCCATGGTAACGTCGCGTCCACGTAAGTTCCATCCATAACCCTTCAGTCGCGGTTCCACTGTTGTGACAGATTCTGGTGGCAGTGTCGTAAGTACAATACTCCTAGTCCTAACCCTAAACCTAGGGTCCAGGGGAGAAGTTAAACCTAGGACCCAGGGGAGAAGTTAAACCTAGGACCCAGGGGAGAAGTTAAACCTAGGACCCAGGGGAGAAGTTAAACCTAGCACCCAGGGAAGAAGTTAAACCTAGGATCCAGGGCAGAAGTTAAACCTAGCGCTCAGTGTCGGAGCTGTTGACACCCTCGATGATTTGGGACCGTTATTGGGAGACGTTTTGCCCATGGTATGTGGTATATTCGCTAGAAAGAAGTCCGCAATTTACATATGACGGAGGCCCTGTTAGGGTATTTTCTTAGCCTCGATAATTTGTGACCGTTATTCGGAGAATAGCCCAAAAGAAAATATCTGATAGAAATAAAATTATGTAAAACCAAAAAAAAAAACTATTATTTTACTTGTTCCTACCTGGTCATTTTCATTTGCACTCACAAAGCCAGGAAGACGTACACTGTCATCTATATCTGCAGTTTGCATATTGCCAGATGGTCGTACAATGTACTCCAAATCTGCCACTTGTATATTGCCAGATACTCTAACATGGTCATCCATATCTGCAACTTGTTCCTTTTTATTGTCACAATCATCTTGCATGTGTCTGTTGCTTGAAGACATTTCCAACCAAAGTTTATTCTCCTGAAGAGCAGAAGCTATTTCAGCCTTACCATGACCATCAGAAGCAGGAGGCCTAGCTGTGAGAAAAATATTTGGAAAATTATAACAGAAATGAAGATGTTAGGAGTGTCCATTTTCACAAATACTAGATCATGACACAGTAGCCTGCAGTAACCAACTCCCTTTCTTGTCTTCTTCTTCTTCTTCTTCTTCTTCTTCTTCTTCTTCTTCTTCTTCTTCTTCTTCTTCTTCTTCTACTGCTGCTGCTTCTTCTTCTTCTTCTTCTTCTTCTTCTTCTTCTTCTTTTTCTTTTTCTTCTTCTTCTTTTTCTTCTTCTTCTTTTTCTTCTTCTTCTTCTTCTTCTTCTCTTCTTCTTCTTCTGCGTCTTCTTCTTCTTCTTCTTCCTCTTCTTCTTCTTCTTCTTTTTCCTCCTCCTTCTTAACATTCACCAGCTGTAAACTACAATTTAAAGTCCTGGTTGTTCACCCACTTCTGAGCTTTGGTAGTGTTCCGAGCTTGTGTGTTGTGTGCACACCCGTTTGACATATATGGCTAATTTGTTTTCAGACTGCTGGTTTGTTACCTCTCAGGCAGTTGCACTCCAACGTTGAGGAAAATGTTGACCCAATATAAGCTGACCAGTCCCCCAGAAGGGAAATCTGTTTCTAGGAAGACTGCAGAGGGGTGAAAACAAGACTTTGACCAGTATGAGTCTAGTTCCTGTACAGCACCACAGGTGGTTCAGCACCACTGAATCAATTTCTTATTTGAAATGAACACAAGACAAGCTATGTCAAAAAAAGCTTAATGAAGGAACCCCACCTTAAATGGGTACTAGGTAGAGTTCTGGGAAGTAAAGGCAACCGGCTGATATTGACCACATCACCCATTGAGTGCCATTTTTTCTATAAAACACAGGTCTAGCCCTATATGTCCAAAACACTTGAAGGCATGGAAAAGGATACTTTATTTTGGCCCTTTATTTTATTGTACTTCTTAATGAAGAACAGGTGAAAGAAATGTACAACAGCTGGACAAATAAGGGCACAAATCTGCTGCCTTGCAGGCAGACAGGGTAGACAAAGACTAGAGAAAGCAAAGCTTAAAAATACTTGTTGAAATCAGACATTAAAAATAAAAATAATTAAACGACCCCTTTCATTTTAGTGCCGCACTGAGCACATGATGCTAGATTAAAATCTTGTAAACAAATCGGCAGTTATGGGTGATGTGGTCAACATCACATTGGTTGCCTTTACCTCCCAGGACTTTACCTGCTACCTGGTATTTCAAAATTTTGGTCCTAGCAGGGATTTATTATTTGTATTTGTCCCAGTTAGCACAGTTTTTTTCAAACAGGATTTATTTTTTCATACCCTTGGAATTTGTGTTGAGGTTTTATTTTTTTGAACAAATAGGACAAAACAATATCTTTGCAAAATTTACTGCATGGCATATTTTGCTTCACCTCTTCATATGCATATTAAAATAAAATCTAATGATAGGAAGCCAAAACAAAAAAACTAATCTTATCAAACTGAAATACAAAATCAACGACTCTCAAAATTAACTGCCTGTGTTACCAGATTAACGATCAACTAAGTGCAGATTCATCTATAAAATCCCCCGTGTGGGTTCCGGGGCCCCATTGTGGGGAAAACAAGAATAGACCCACTGCCTCCTCAAAAGCATGTCGTAAGAGTCGACTAACTGGGGAGCTTCCTTTGAAGTCAGAGTGCATCTGCCGGAGAGGCAAGGAACCAATAGTCTGTGTTCAAGAGAATGAGATATGTAAAACTGATGCACACGCAACACTCAGATTCTGGAGCAGAACTGCAGTTCAGTAGTGAACGAGCAACCAGAACTGCCAGAGTGTACAGCTGGTGAACGCAAAGAAGAAGAAGAAGATCTATAAAATTTAGGTCTAACACTATAAACATAGCACCACTGAAAGCATGGAAAAGGGTGCTTTACTTTTTTATTTTACTTTTCATATCGCTGCTGACACATAAGGCATTCACAAATATATCTCTACTGCTGTCCAGTTTGCTTTTTTTCCATCCTTGTAATCCCATGTGTCATTTTACATTTCTTTTTTTCCCTTTCACTGTCCTTCTCCAGGTTTCCTTAGGTCGTCCATCTCTCCCTTTTCCCCAAGGCCTTCTGCAAACACATCCATGCCACCTGCCATTCTTGCTAAAGTGTCACAGGGAATTCAGCAAACACATCCATGCCATCCTTGCCAAAGTGTCACAGGGAATTCAGCAAACATATCCATGCCATCCTCATGCCATATCCATGCCATCCTTGCCAAAGTGTCACAGGGAATTCAGCAAACATATCCATGCCATCCTTGCCAAAGTGTCACAGGGAATTCAGCAAACATATCCATGCCATCCTTGCTAAAGTGTCATAGGGAATTCAGCAAACATATCCATGCCATCCTTGCCAAAGTGTCACAGGGAATTCAGCAAACATATCAATACCATCCTTGCCAAAGTGTCACAGGGAATTCAGCAAACATATCCATGCCATCCTTGCCAAAGTGTCACGGGGAATTCAAACACATCCATACCATCTCCTATCTTTGATAATGTTTCCCAGTGATGAACAATAATTATTAAAATGCAAATGAACACAACCTAATTGACTGCTCCTGTTGGAACCTAGGGGTAAAGTGGTTGACATATTCTCTATGGTCAGAACTCTTTGTGCTAAACGATGCAAAACTTTCTGTGCAGCCAGATTTGTCTTTGCAGACTCGCCAAGAACCTGTAGGGCTATTACGCCATCAACCCTGTAAATACAATATAAGTTAACTTTTGATTGCATCGTAATGATAACATACAATTAGACAATGGCTTCATGGTGATATGATCAAGCTAAGGTAGGCAGACAGGTAGATATGCATTTAGTAAGTCAAGCAGGTAGACGAGCAGGTAGAAAGGTAGGTGGTAGGGCAGGTACATAGACAGGCAGATAGATAGATGGTGAGGCAGGTAAGTAAATAGGTAGGTAGGCATATGGCATGCAGATAGACAGACAGTTGGTGAGGCAAGTATGTAGATGGGTATGTAGGTAGAATGGCAGGTAAATAGACAGATGAGGTGAGGCATGAAGATAGATATACATACAGTAAAAAAAAAAAAAAAGAAACACAGTTATCTGATGGCTTATAGTTACTAGTTGATGGGAAAGTGCTACACCTAAAAACTGTCGATGACCTAGATGCAAAAGAACTGTCAGTTTACTGGTCGAACCCTAAAGTAATCTTGTGTTCAATTTGAACAATTTCACTCATAAGATTTTGAATGTCAAAATTTTTTATAATTTTTTTTAATAGCATATAATTAGTTAGACCAGCAGGTATGTGACCTGTAAAACACTAGACAGTTAAGTATGTAGGCGGATATGTAGTTAAGAAAGTAAGACAGGCAGGTAGATAGCCAGGTAGTCAGTAAGACAGGTAGGTAGATATCCAGGTGGTCAGTAAGACAGGCAGGTAGATAGCCAGGTAGTCAGTAAGACAGGTAGTAGTAGTCCAGTCAGTAAGACAGGTAGGTAGATAGTCAGTAAGACAGGTAGGTAGATATCCAGGTGGTCAGTAAGACAGGTAGGTAGATAGTCAGGTAGTCAGTAAGACAGGTAGGTAGATATCCAGGTAGTCAGTAAGACAGGTAGGTAGATATCCAGGTGGTCAGTAAGACAGGTAGGTAGATATCCAGGTGGTCAGTAAGACAGGTAGGTAGATATCCAGGTGGTCAGTAAGACAGGTAGGTAGATATCCAGGTGGTCAGTAAGACAGGTAGGTAGATATCCAGGTGGTCAGTAAGACAGGCAGGTAGATAGCCAGGTAGTCAGTAAGACAGGTAGGTAGATAAGCAGACAGTCAGTAAGACAGGTAGGTAGATAAGCAGACAGTCAGTAGGGCCAACAGGTACACAAGCAGGGATGTCGTTATTTAAGCAAGCTAACAGCTAGGTATATATTTAAGGTAAAATGAGTGGATGAGTTGATAAGCAGACGGTGTAGCTATGTAGATAGGATGATAGTACCCCCAAAAAAGTTATTATTCTTCTTTGCTCGCCCACAATATTGAGAATGGCACGTTGCGCTGTGGTTTACAATTAGGCTGGGATACCTCTGCCAGTCAGCCCAACACATACAACTTTAGCAAACCCCAAGTTAGTCGCCTGTTAGGACATACTTACTGGGGGAGGGGGGTAGCAGTGGATCTGTTATTTTTGTTTCCTAGATGGGACTCCGGAACCCACACAGGAGCAGAAACAAAAATAATAAACATCACTAACCAGGTCTCATTCACCATATCAAACCCACAGCTCTCCAGAGCCATGAGTGCTTCTTTAAGCCCACTACCGAGGCTGTTGGTACACCGAAACACATCCAGGGCATGCCATAATGTCGGGCTTAGGTCATGGACAGAACTGCTGATTGCTCTACTGCGGCTAGACCTCGTCTCCACATGGCTGTAGTATTCATAAATGTCTCTGACATCCTGTTGAAGTTTTTATATTTTATTTTTGTTTCAACTCAGTTTTTTTCTTTTTTTATATGATTAAATGAAAAGCACAATGAAGTTCATAGATTTTTTAAGTCACCATTAATTACTGACATCATCAGGGTTTTAAAACTGTAATGACTGGGGCATATAGTGAGAATGGCAGATAACAGAGAATCAAAGTTCCCCCATGGTAAATTTGGATAAAGAAGACACATACAATAGACTGCACAATTATTTTGCCTGGCATATTTCGCTGTATCTCGTCAGGTAATACGTTGTAAGATGGTTGTTGAATCTGTACTTCAGTTATTAAGGATTCATTTATTTGCTTCACTTATGTAATTCTTGAGGCCTCAGAGATGTGGTTTTACAGAAGAATGCTTTGAATACCTTGGACAGCCAAAAAGAGCAACCAAGAGGTTTTGAAAGAGGCAGGAGCCCGAAGACAACTAATCACAGACATCAGAAGGAGACAGTCATCATTTTTCAGCCATGTTATGAGAAGAGGAAAAATATAACATGTTGTGACCACTGGAAAGATCTGTGGAAGGAGGGATAGAGGAAGACAATGAGAGAAGATGCTTGACAGTCTTGTTGCATGGCATGGAGGTGTGTCGGCACACGAACTGATACATGCTGCAGGAGATCGCAGATTATGGAGAGACATGATCGCCCAGTCGGCAAGGCACCTGATGATGATGTAATTGTTACTATAGTGTGCACCTGACAAGATACAGCGAAATATACCAGACCATTAATTAGGCAATCTATTGTTTATGTCTTCTTTATTCAAAAGATAACAGTGAGACAAAAGAGCTGACTGGGAGCAGACCACAGGGCATACCAAGAAGACAGTGTAGAGATAATATACAGGCAGACTCATAAATATGTAGAATCACCAAATGGAAAAAAAAAAACACAGAGATGAATGGAGGTGGGTGAAATCTGCAGCAGTGAACCTCAAGGGCTCGGAACACTCAAGAATATGAAGTGATTAAATTGAATGATAAGGTCTGCTGGGATCAGTACAAATACTAGCTCAACATTACTTACTTTTCCTATCCGGTTATGTTATTTATATATTTGTATATATTACTTTACTGTTTCATCCACACTGTCATCTGGATAGACAGAAAAGTGCCAACAAACAACATGGGTGTGCTGTCATCAACAAGAAATTATGAATGAATCAATGGACATGTTTGTTGTGCTTTTAAATATGTTTTTTTCCCCAAACATTAGATATTATATGTAAAGTTTTCACTGTTTCCAACTTTCTTTCATATGTCGATTTTCTTTCTGTTCACTATAAATGTGTTTGCAATTAGGTTCTTTCAATTCTTAGGATCAGTTGGGCTCGGGCTTCCTTCTTCTGATAAGAAACACCCTTTGGAACTTTTTAGTCAGAAGAACTTGATATCGTGGGAGGCTAGAAGATGTATTGCAAATATAAAGCTACTGTGCACCTGTGCCTCAGACAGCTTTATTTTTATTGAGGTTGAAACAGGCCAGATGGCCTCTCTGTTAGCAGCATACAGTCTACAGTGTTGGAGTAAATGCGCAGCAGTTTGAGGTGCCAAGATGAAGGAACACATGGGCTTTGTACAACGCTATGTTGGCAAAGTCTGTGGTGTCCTGTCCTTAATCCTGAAAAACCAGCACATACCATCTCTTGAGAGGTGATGCAAGCATTTGCCTGGCTTGAAACATAAAAATCTACACCCGCATATGTATACTCAGTGATTCAATGAGTATGATGGATTTTAGTTTTTGCGAATCATGGTGAATCATTACAGAAGTCCACTGTGCGTGGAGTCACCTTTATTTTTGTTCCTGCACGCAGGCGTCACTGGAAATAAGAGCTGACAGGTTGGCTGGATCCGCTATTTCACTACCGACGGTCTCTATGGATCATGCTGATATTATCAATGCCCTCAGAGAAATGGGAAGGATAGAGGAATTTGGTGGCAGTGAATCCACATCACTCGCCAGAATGGCAGCATTGGGAATAAGATCGGCTCCAGCAAAAAAAAACGAGAGCTCACCGGACACGTCAGAAGACTTGTTAATCAACATAGAACTGGTACTATTAGCCATCGGACGTTGGGGTTCATACTGAGGGGAGGATCTGAGCACCTATGGACATGTCCGGAGTGCAATGACGATAACCCAACTAACTAACTAACTAACTAACTAACATAGTCTAATAATTACAATACATGCCTGTGAGTTTTGTTCGGAAGCCGAAGACAACTTATTCATATCAGTGTCCATATTTTCCACCTGGCTTTCCGTCAGGATAATCTTCCCAACATCAATAACAAACCTCAAAAACAAGAGAGCGTTGGGGTAAGGGCTGTACATATTTTGTAAATCGTCAAGTCCTAATGAGAAATATAACAGAGGACAGCACTTACTTATTAACTTCAATCCCACAAAAAATTTCATTAATAAACAAACATGATGTTTATCATAAATCTGGCAGAAAGTTTTGCCTATTAGGGCTAAGTCTACTTGTTACTGGCCCCTTCTCTTTCTCCAGACAATAATGTTCCACTGCACTATAGGGAGGCATGGGACTCACAGCTCACCATTATCATCATCATCCTACCATAACATTGCGTTTTGTTGGATCACCAGTTGCTGTTGACTGTCTGATCGGATCCCTCCAGCTTTGACGGTCAGATGTGATGGACTTTTTAGTTGCATGCCGAAGGCCTGTCCAGTCAGTCAAGTTCTGTATGGAGGTCTCTCTTAGTCTGCTTCTTATCCTCTTGCCCTCTACTGAGCTCTAGAGGGTTGTTTTTGAGAGGTCGTTAGATCTTATTTCATGTCCGTACCATTGAATTTTCCGCCATTTCACTGAAGTTAAAAGAGGTTCATAGTTGCCAATGAGCTGGATAATTATTTGGCAAACCTCAACATTTGTGATGTGGTCTCTATGTTATGCCTAGAGTTTTCTTCTGAAAGATCACAGTCCATGGCAATACGAATTCAGGCCAGGGATAAAGTTCCTCCTCTCCACAGCACAAAGCCTGGGCAGTAATGTACAGACTAAATGTTGCCCATAGAGCATGATCCCTCCCTCAAGTTATTTGTTTACTCCATAGGAAAGGTAACACCAATATATCTGGAAAAATAAATGCTGTAGAAGCTGACGGATCCAAAGAGTGGTGTTCTCTCTGTCCACCTGTGAGAACTTTCCTCACAGACCAGCTGCCAGCCAATGCTATGTGCTCGGTCTACCTTGCCATAACAAGTTTTCAGGTTGCATTTCCTCTTCCTAGGATAAGGTTAGTATCCTCCCCAGTGCATTCCTGCACCTGAAGCCATAATTAATTCTACTATGACTCCAAATATTGCATACCTCTTTAAAAATATTCATTTCCAAGCACTTAGGTATTTTGGCCATATGATGCTGATCATATGTTTTATAAATTAGTCAGCACTTTTTGGGTAATGTGGCCAGTATCGGGGACCACTGAGTTAACTGTATGTGTTGATTCTTTCCCATCAGAACATCACTGATAAATTCTATTTATTGGGGTAGCCTATATCAAGTTTTCTCTCTAGACAGTTGCAGTCCCCTTCTGATGAGATTCTGTCTTCCCAGATAGTGGGCAGCCACAATCTAAACATTGTGACGGCAGCATAGTCAAGGCTGCCAAATCAATTGGTTATTATCCTGCTCCAGACATATCACAACAACAAGACATGTTACTCCCATGAAAAACACACAGTATCCTGTGTTGGAAATGCACATAAAATAGTAGCCTATGATAAGGAAACAAAAAATACAAAAGAAATCACAACCATAGAAAAATAACATCGCTGCTTTTCGCCATTTTGAAAATGGAAGTCCATATGGTCAGTATCAAGCCAGCCACTTTTACTTTTCAGGATATGTCCCTGTACTCAGTTTGAGCTGACATGGATTCTAGATTACTGTTAAGCAGCTCTGCACCTGGTTTGATTTGTGATCACAGCACTTGAGGTAAGAAGAGTGATCCATTAAAGTAAGTGAACCAGACCGCTCAACCAAGAATTCCCAAGGGTCAATTTTTCAAATCTGTCTTATCAGGGTTTTGAATCTATGACTGCCTAATTGGCAAGCCAATTGCAAGCCACAGCTCAGCCTCAGCTCAACGGAATCCCAATTTTATCAGCTTTAATTCATCCAACAGCCCTGTTGTACTAGCGCAGTTAAGGTAAGTGAAAGCAAGAACAGTAACACTGTACACTACCAAGCGGGCCATAAAAGACAACTAAGAATATGACTGTGCTTGGGGTTGGCTACCCATTTCCATAAAATATGTCAGCCGCAAAAGCTAATCATATGTGTCCCCCTTTGAAATATTGGTGGGCAGGTTGTGTTGTGTTTTATAGCAAGGATGTGATATATGTGTTTTTCAGTCCAACGCATTTGATTTCAGCAAATCCCTAATTAGTTGCCTTTGACAACATACTTGGTAAAGTGGGAGAAGACACAGTGGGTCTGTTCTTTTCATCCACCAAAACTGGGGCCCTAGAACACCACAAGGAAACAAGAAGTTTAAAATGGTTCTGTGTGAGATGGCTAAGGGCCAATGCACCTCAGGGGAATAAAGGGCAAAAGAAGAGAAATAATTCTACTAAAAACTGTGAACTTACCATCCATATAAGTGCACAGCCTATTTTTTGATTCTCCATGCTCCTGCAGCTGTCCAACCATGTGGTGATAAAACAATCTCTCAAACACCAGCTGGCCAACCTGCCACAGATACAAAAAGGAAATCAGTACCATAGCTGGTCATCCTAAGCAAGATATGGTGTGTAATTGGCTCCTTTCCTTGAATCCCAACCACTTACATTTTAAATCTGGTCAGATTTGCTAAAGAAATCTGGCTTTCCTAGCAGAAAATATTTTGAGATTAAAGTTACAAAATAAATACTATCTTTTTTTTAGGTACTTTTATAATTAACCACTTTATAAGTAAAACTTTCTTGACTTTCCAATAGCGATTACTTTCCAACTTGAAATCTGCTGCCAAACCTGTAACCGAAACAGATATTCTTAATTAGAGTTTACCCTTCAAAGGTTGGTTGAAACTTTGAGATGTGGTTTATATCTAGGCTGTGATATCTGCATCTCTGAGCCCGAGGCATCAAATATCAGCAAATCCCTAATTAGTCACCTGTTATTACATGCTAGTTAGCGGGCTGTGGCCCTATTCCCCCCCCCCCCCCCCTTTTCCAATGGGATACCAGTACAATGAAGTCAGTCCTCGTATGATTAAAAAAAAACCATTCTAAAGATCATAATAATACCTTTAGCAGTTTTATCTCCGTAGTCCTGAGGAAAGGATAATTCAGCTCTTCCATTCTCAGACAGTACAAAATGGTTTCAGCCAGGTAGAACAAAGCAGGGATTTGGTATCTTTCCAGTGGTGACACATCCAGAGATGTCACCAACAGGTCTAAACACTCTGCAGGTAAAGACAATGGATGTGTGATCCGTTATCTTTCTTGTGAGTATTTACAATTAGATAAACAAGATTTCAAAGAGCTAGTGTTCTTATATACTAATTGACACTGTTTTTAAGCTATCTAAACATTGGCATGATTGCCAAAAAACAAATTTCATGTATAAACAAAATATTCATACCAAAGGCTAACTTTAGTAAAAATTACCATATGTGACATAAGAAGTCTGAAGAAAGCCACCAACTTGACTATCCGAGACAAAGTGAGAAATGAAACTATCAGACAGACTGTGGGAGCAGCACAGTGCACCAAATTCATTGAGAAGCAGAAGATCAGATGATTCAGTCATTTCGTCAGAAGTCAGCCACAACAATTGCCAGCACAGGAACTACACCTAAGAAGATCTGGCGTGCAATCAAGAGGTCGCTTAAGGAGAAGACAGAGGGATGATATTAAAGACAGACTACATCGACACAGAATGAAAATTGCCAGTGTTACCCTATAAAGCAACCGATCAAAATTTGTACCTCCCCCATGACGCTTAATGGCAAAAGTTGAAACTGACTCTGATGATGATAAAAACTAGATATTATATGTGCAGCTCTGTGGTTTTGAGGTTAGTGCAATCATTTCAAAATGTAATCACTGACGTTTACCAGTGTTCCTTTTCTGCCCCAGGCGATTTAGAAAAACACAGTTCTTGTAGCTTTCAGACAGTGAAACTGTCCATGTGGGTTCCGGGAACCCACTGTGGGTGGGTGATGGGATAGACCCACTCCCTTCAAAGTCACAGTGCATCTGCTTGAGAGGCGAAGATCCAACAGTCTGCACATAAATAATCCAGATTTGTAAAATGAATGTCTGTGAGACATCTTGGGCAGACACTACTCTATGGAATATCCCAGGCAAACACTAGTCTGACTGTGGGACATTATATGCAGACATTTGTATGTCTGTGGGACTTTCTGGGCAGACACTAGTCTGTCTGTGAGACATACTGGGCAGACACTACTCTGTGAGAAATACTGGGCAAACATGTCTGAGAGACATTCTTGCCAGACACTAGCCGGTGAGAAATCCTGGGCAGACAATAGTCTGTGGGACATCATGGGCAGACAATAGTCTGTGGGACATACCGGGCAGACAATAGTCTGTCTGTGAGACATCCTGGACAGACACTTCTCTGTGATAAAAACTGGGCAGACACTAGCCGGTGAGACATCTAGGGCAGACACTAGTCTGACTGTGGGACATTATATGCAAACACTAGTATGTCTGTGGGACATCCTGGGCAGACACTAATCTATGGAACATACTGGGCAGACACCAGTCTGTCTGTGAGACTTCCTGGGCAGACATGAGTTTGTGGGACATCTTTGGCAAACAACAGTCTGTGGGACATCCTGGGCAGACGCTAGTTTGAGGGACTTTCTAGGCATGCACCAATTTGTGGGACATCCTAGGCAGACTCTAGTCTGCGGGACATCCTAAGCAGACACTAGTCTGTGGGACATCCTGAGCAAAACTAGTCTGTGGAACATCATAGGCAGACACTAGTCTGTAAGAAGTACTGGACAGACACTAGTCTGTGGGACATTACTGGACAGACACTAGTCTGTGGGACATCCTGAACAAAACTAGTCTGTGGAACATCATAGGCAGACACTAGTCTGTAAGAAGTACTGGGCAGACACTAGTCTGTGGGACAATTCTGGGCAGACACTAGTCTGTGAGACATTACTGGGCAGACATTAGTCTGTGGGACATTACTGAGCAGACACTAGTCTGTGGGACTTCCCGATGGGGGGGGGGGGGGGGGGGGTCACTATTCTGGCTAAACTAAGCAGAAGTAACCACATTCATCACATTGATGAAGCCTAATGAGAGCTGAAAGCTGTGCATTCTGTGAAACTGCAAATTTTTCTAAACTGCCAAATTATTAGGCTGAGAAGGACCAACCTTCCTGTACACTTCCTTTGCACTGTGCCAGCTGGGCCATTTCTGTCCATGCCAGAGGAAGGTTAACATAATCACCACAGCCATAGTTCTTGACGCCCGACCTTCTCTGCAGTGAATGTTAAAGTCAGATTTACAGTTAATCATTTTGATACTAATGGTGTACATGATACTGGTGAAGAAGATGAGGAGATTAATTTTGCAGATCTTGCTTTTTTGTAAGGAGACTGTTGGTTCCATTCCTCTCAGGCACTCCAATTTTGAAAGAAACCCTTAATTAGTCAATTCTTATGACATGCTTGTTAGGCTGCCTGGCCGAAACGTTACGTTGTGTTGTTTTGTGCACGTTTTCCTCTTTCCCACTTTGTTGAGCTTTTTAGTCAAATTTTTCTGGAATTCATTGTATTAGCTTGACTGCAGTCACCCCCATAGTTTCACCATTGTTAGGGAGGCAGGGATCAACTTTTTTTCCATGTGCCACAATGGGGCCCTGGAACCCACAGGGGAATCTGGCATGTGTTATCCAGGTTTGTTCAGTTAGTTTTGTGGCACACTGCACAGCCTCATTGTTGGATCACCTTTTCTGGTCTGCTGGTGATGCCCCCATCTAAGGCACTTATGTGGATCCTAATTAGCTCTCATGAGAAGGCAGGGGCAGAACATGGGCATCCCCACCTTTCAAGGAGGCTTCCATGGATGCAGTGCCGACACGTGTTGATTTGCTACTGGGTTCACCAAAGGTATGATCATGTTCTGTACATGCCTGCTGACCTCACTTCTAAGTATAATGGCATAATAATGGCATCCGTCAGTCCCGGGGGACTATGGAGATGTGCCGCTGGCTTTGGGAACAGCATCTGCTGTGACTGCGGGAATGGCAGTCTTTGCCACACAGGATACACACAAAAGCAGATACTCCCTCGTTGTGAGGCAGTTTTACTCTCCGGTGCCTCCTCTCCACAGCTCGTTGTGTTCAGTTTCTTTCAAAATGTGACAGTCCATCTTTCACTTTCTGTCTCCATAGTAGACGATCTGCAGCTGATTTTTCCCATGTCTCTGTGCCTATGTCGGTATCTATTAGGTCACGTTTGCATACATCTTTATAGCGCAGCTTTGGCCTTCCTGTAGGTCTATTCCCAGTTACCAATTCACCATATAGGAGATACTTCTAAGTATACAGTTTCTCAATCACCAGACTGCTCCCAAAATGTATATTTAATATGTAATGACGTTTTCAAAAAACATCGTACTATTTATTTACTAAAAATCTGGCAACGAAGTCATTTTAATGATTTACCCCAGTACCTTAGCTCTTTCTAGGAACTTCTTTGCTTTTCCTTCATACTGTTCTTTCTCATTAAAATTTTCTGCTGTGTTGAAAAGTTGAACAAACCCATCTGTTACATCTAATGGTTTTCTGAAATAAATAAATTTGTAGTTTTATTGATGATTTAAAATGATCAGAATCCAACCTATGTGAAAGAGAAACATATTTATACAAGAAATAAACAAATGTCCAGATTAACTCTTTCAGTGCTAGAAGGCAGGTAATTACAGGGTCTCTTAACTCTTTCAGTGCTACAGGGCAGGTAATTATGGTATTTACAGGGTCTTTTAACTCTTTTAGTGCTAGAGGGTAGGTAATTACAGGGTCTCTATGACTTATGTCTGAGTTCTGTTCCAATAAAAGGTCATAAGTGAACTGGCTGTAAGCTGACTTAATATTTTTCAACACTACTTTAATTCAAATGGGTTTTACAAATTATACATAAAACACACAAAATTCAATCTGTGTATGTATGTTATTGTACCTAATGTGAAAGATACATAATTTGTACTATAGTGTATGTACTGTAATCCAAAAATAGTACCTGAAATTATATAATGTTCCAGACAGTCTGTTATATGCCGTAGGGTTAAACAGGCTCTGATTTCTAGACCCCATTGTGCTCTAGGCATCACTTCTGGGAACTTTTTGAGCCTACCAATGTAGTTATCTATCTATATTTACCATTTTTATATTAAATTTTGTTGTTGTTGCGGTCGTAAGTGCAGATGGCTGTAAGTCGCATATGTTATAAGTCAAGGAGGAGGTGTGGTTATAAATCAACATCTTTCAACTATTCACTACCAGTGGCCCCATTCATCTGAGTGTCAGACCACAAGTCCAGTTGCCAAATGCCCTACTGCTTGACAGAAAAGACACTGATATCCAATTGTAAATTGTCCTACTGATTGATAGAAAGGTTCAAACATTTGCTACTATTGGCTCCACTTGTCAGAGTGTCAGGACCAATCAAGGAAGCAATGCAGTATGCATTCTTCTCCTATTTTGTCTCACTAAGAGTCTGAAACAAAAACATTAAACATGTCTAAAGTACTAAAGAAGAATGTAGCTATCTGTGTGGTCATCAAAGTCCGGGATCCCTGCTAATCTCCAGAGGGTGCAGCCCGTGACAAGTGGGAAGCTCAACACATGGATGCGAGATCCAGCAGTCATTTGCAGGACGTGATGATTCCTTGGGTAAGCCCAGGACTAGAGCAACATGAGTTGGCTCTGCATTTATGGAAGCCTCCGTGGATGACAGGGAATACCCATAATCTGCTGCTGCCTTCCCTTGAGGGCCAACCAGTCTACACATGATTGTCCTGGATGGGTTCTCCAGATAAAACACTTGTAGATAAAGGAACAAAGAAGACAATACACAAATCAGGCTACACCATGTCCCTCAAAACTATCCCAGAGGGTAGTCAGGTCAACAAATGCTCAATGAAGTTTTATGTGCCGGCTGAAAGGGCAAATATCCTAGTTTTGTTGTTAACAGACGCAATGCAATTACGTCCAAGGTTGAATGAAGAGAAGAAGAAAATGAAATCAAAGTCTGATGCATTCACAGGTACTGAAATAGTTAACAGCATTGTGTTTGTCCATCCTTTTTTATTTCCGTCGCTCTATCCATCTAACTATTCATCGATATACTCAGCCATCCGTCTAAGTGTCTGTCTGCCTGTCAGTGCTCTTATCTGTCAACCTGCCTGCCAGTACTCTTTTCATATTCACACATATCAACTGATCTATCAGGTCATTTAGCCACAACTCTTTCAGTCATCCTCCATCCATGAATATTAAATTTAAAAATTATAAATCCCAACAAAAGGATGTTAATAGATTTTGGTAAATGATTCTGGTATGAAAACACTTGGATCCTTGCTGACGCTATGAATATTGTTCACCATGATGAATCCCCTTAAGTGATCTGACAGCAGAGCAGATCTTCAGAAGATTGATGCACTTATGAAGATACCCGAGTGTATTAAAATATCCTTTATTAAACATCATTTACATTGTGTCTATTGATACAAATGTCATACAAATTCATGAAGAGAACTGATTACCCGCATCAGAAGGTGACAATCTACATTCTTTGTTCACATCAAAAAAAAGGAGAGCGCTAGAATTCATCGTATTGCTGGAAAAATTTGAAGAAAAAAGAGGCACAGACAGAACTAGAAATAAGATGCTGGACAGTTTGAGATCATGGCATGGAAGACTGTGTCAGAAACGATGAAAATACACAAGAAACAGGCTCTGTATAGACATGACTACCAATGTTATAAAGCATGAACTAGAAGAAGAAGACCGACAACCAGAGCTTTTCTCAGCTGTTAAACATTACATCTAAACAACAAATGAAACCAGAAAAAAAGAATGCAAGAATAAGGTTATTCGGGTGTAAAAATAAAATACCTGTGAATTAAGGATGGTTTCTTTCCTGTATTGCTGTCAAAAAATGCTTTTCTGTGCAATCTTTCTTGTAGCTGAAGTCTCTGAGTGCTTGAAATAATTCCAAATTTATGGACAACAGGAATTTTTGTGATGGGCATGATCCTAGAAATAATCGTCCATGAAAGTTAAATGTAAATATTTCAATAGATAATGAATTACAATGGGAAATTTTGAGTAGTATCCACCGCTAAAGTGTTAATATCTCTCCTTAGAATTGACTTACAAGCTTTATTGGGGTGGGGGGCTGTGTGCTAGAGGTTCAGGGTTCAATCCCCAGTAAGGGCTGGGAATTTTTCAAGTGGATTGGACTTCTAGTAATTCCCTCTGGTCTCTGGGTAGTGAAATCGGACGCCCGTGTGCATTGTTGCGCACATAAGAAATCAAAAAGAATAGCCTAACGGCACTGCCCAAGCAAAAATTTGAAGTTCAAAATCCACTCAATGTATTTCAGGATCCTCGCCGGTGCAACAGCGCCTGTGTTGAGCTTCTTCAGACTTGTTATGGGTTACTACCCATGTTCCATAATGTTGAGATGTTTACCCATCTATTTAAATCCATACCTAGTGATACTTTAGCAAGGACAGATTTTCAATGAACTACAGCTGGAACAAGAAGACGAGAATAATCTAAGCCTAAGCAAATCTGGAGGACAGTATAGAAAGAGAACTAAAAAATGTAAAAATTGGCTTTCCTCTGAATAACGGGCACAAAAGATGGCTGCCGCAAAACATCCTAACAGAGCCTCAGTTATGTGTCAACTGCGCACTTCAGGCGACTTAATTTGCGGTTTTCAGGCGACTACCGCCACCGCCGAGAGTATTGGGGCTAAACTAGATGGCTGAAACTCACGAGCAGCAGCTTCCGCATCTCCTGCAGCTTTGCTCGTGAGTCCTAGCCAGAAGTGCGCAATTGACACGTGACTGAGGCCTTGTTTTTGGCCGCTATCTTTTCTGCCCGTTATTCGGAGGATCGCCTAAAAATTAAATGGGCTACCAGACCAGCCTGCAATGGAGATAACTTGTGAATTATTTGTGTGTCAGTGGTGACATGGAGTGGATATATGTATAGGTACAGTATAGCTACATGATGAATGATGTGAAAATTGTCATGCTGACTGTTTTATATTTCTCAGAACATATCCATTTTCCTTGAACCCATTTTTATTGCCTTGCCACTGCCCAATCTCGAAGCACGGGTCAATTTTTTAATACCGTCTCAGTGGAGGTTTAAACCTATAACTATAACCATCACAGCAGCAGACGTAGATAATTAAATATTACTACATTTATATCGTGTAGATAAGAAGTGTATAATATATGTTTACATCTGATAATTTGTTAGTAAATGATAATAATAGAAATAGTGCAATTTTTTTATTTTATGTCGGCCATTTTGTTGTTACGGACGCACTTTAGTGAAGTCTGTCTAAATATAGAAATAAACTGAAAATACAAAAGATACGAGGGCCTTTTTAGAAAGTAGTAATGTGCAGTTTCATTAACCCATTACAATATCGTGATAGAACAGTACGTTACAAACTGCAAATAATTAAATGCTTTCTGATTGAAAGAAATGCAGTGAACATTCATTAAAAGTTTTTTTTATAATGTCTAAAAAGAAATCGACTCATGAAAAGAACTAGTTGTCTAAACAAAGAAAGAGACCACCTATATGTATATTTTTTGGGTCCTGTCACGGGAAGGAGAAAACGGGAGTACATCGTGACGGTAGGAAATTAGAGGTGTGGAAGGAAAGAGACTAGTCACGAGAGAAGATGCTGGACGGTTTGACATCATGGCACGGAAGATCATCTGTGTCGGAATTGACTGACATTAGATGAGACAGAAGGTAGTGGACTAACATGACTGTTGACGCCACACGGCATGGATTATAGAAAGAGGTGCTGTGTGTGGAATAATTTTTTTTAAATAGTTGTTTCCTCAAACGTTGCAAGGATTAATATCTCAATGATGAGAATGAAACTGGCACAAAGCCTAGAAATCCCGTTCAAATATATAACTATATATCACAGTTATTTAGGGCACCATAAAACGGTTACTGATTAAGCAGTAGTCCGGTGTGAGTGTGTCTTGCAGTGATGGAATTTGTGCAATAGATAGGATACATTTGGTCGCTGTGTTATAGAATTACGGCTTCGCAAAGTTCGAAGACGTGGAAATAAGATTTAGGCATTGAAATTATTTTCCGTGGTTTACACTGATTCAAGGGGGACGACTCTCATTATTCGAGAACGTAAACTTTATAGGCCATGGCTAACAAGTCAAGGGTAAATCTCCGTTTTAAATTTCTTCTGTGTCACCTCCCAGTAGCGCATATACCCATATCCAGCTAAATACTTGTTCATGACTAGTTGGATTTTGCAACCTTCACTTCTAACTTTGGTCTTGTTCCAGAACTTAAAGTTTCAATCATTTGCGTGCACATCAATTTACTGATCTAGGCAAGGTTCTTCTCCGAACTTCAACCCAGCGGCCATATCCTTACGGGGCTCAGTTCTATTAAAAATATGCCGGCTCCGTATAACTAAACAAATGCTCTAACAGGGTCTCAGCGATATGTTACTTGCTGACCTGTTTCTGTGACTATGCCTCACTGACGACCGTATGATACCGGATGGGGGCTAAACTAGATGGCTGGGACTCACGAGCAGCAGCTACCGCATCTCCTGCAACTTCCTCCAATAAATTTGCTCGTGAGTCCCAGGCACCTAGTTTAGCGGTGCGGGGGATACGCTCGGTGGTGAGTTTAATTGCGTTTTGCGCATGCCATTATCATCTGCAGAAAACGCTCGAAATTGTCAACGGTCGCTATTATCATCTGCTACTATCGTCTGCAATGTTGCATCTCTTGAAATTGTCAAGTAATCCTAGTTTTGCCGCGATTTGTTCCTTGGCAGAAAGTCCGCATTTTACATATGCCTGAGCCCCGTAAGGATATTTTATGGCCACCATAATATCGGGTCCAAGTTCAGAGGAGAGCCCTGGTTTATTTGTATGCAGAGACGGCTTGGTTTGCCTCTCAGGCAGATGCATTCCGACTTTGAAAGAAACACCCTTTTTGTAGAATTTTGCGACATGCTTGTTAGTGTGGCAGTGACACCCACCCCAGTGGGGCAGTCTGTGATCTGGGCTTCAAAACTGACACAACTTTATTGGGAAGAGATTCTTTTCTGCACCATTGGAGCATATGGTACCAGACCCATATTCTTATACACCAGTATAAGTCTGCATTCAAGGGATGATGTGTGCAACATTTTTGCCAGTCACCTTTGTTTCCTGTGTTTCATAGTAACTGTTTTAGACTGGGAAGGCTTAAATTAAATAGCTGCGAGTTTTCTGGGAAATAAAGGCAGCTAGCATGCTGTACAACACTTCACTAATCCTATGCTAATCTAAATCTAGCACAGCATACCCAGTACCCCCCTAGGCATGGGTCATTAACTCGTTAAATGACTGAGGGGCTAGCATTCATACTGACCATATCAGACTTGGGACTTCCGGTCTAATATGGTAGGTAAGTCGGCTGACCACTGATGCTGAGTTGAAGCTTGGTGTGACACTGAGCTGTGGAATGGGTTTTTTTTTTCTACTGTTTTCTGTCTCACGGCTCCAGTTGGTACACCTAGGGTATGCAGTCTGTTCAATGAAATACCATTTCATATAAAACTGAAAGCCTCACGGCTTTTAATCTCTCGTATGGCAATGATTATCTCTCCTGTCCATAGATGGCCCATTTCTGATAGTTTCACTGCCAACGAGAGTGACTGCTCTTTCATTGCTTTTCACACCAGCATATCCTGGGACAAAAATGAAGGTAATTTTGCCAAACGCTGTGTGCTGTATCCGGTGGAACTTCTGTTTCCGTATGTACCCAGCCTTATCTTCTTTAGCATGCTTCTTGGTGAATTCCTGAGTTTTCAGCCATTCTAGGGCCTTTGTCACAGCCATTGCCTCCATTGTCATGCTTCTGGTGGTAGAAGCAAAGGCTCCACTGTCTTTTTTGATGACTTTGGGTGTCACAGGAAATTAGTGCTAGTACTAAACTTAAAATATTCAGCTCAGTGCTTTATTTATTACCTACCCCAAATAGAGGACAGTCCACTATTTAAAGGGGTGCAAGTGTGCTGCTGCTGCTGTTTGCTCTTTTAGTGTTTTTTGTTGTGGCATATTTCTGTATGTTGGTGCCGAATCGGCTGCTTGTTGATGTGCAGTTAGCTGGTGTACAATACTGTTTTTAGAACGTTTTGTCATGTGAATGTGTAGTGTAGTTGGTATCACATCCACCTTATAAATGAAAGGTATCCGGTTAAATCTGTATTCAATCCCTACGTGAATTGTTTTATTTTTTTTTTGTAAATGTAAATTGTACACTTTAGCTATGTGAACTCTATGTGCAATCACAGGAATTTCTAATTGTGGGTACTGTGTGGGTGACCCTAAAAAGGGCCAATCATTCTAAATGTATACTGCTGGGTTCATGCACGAATTGACAATCACAGCAATTTTAACAGGTTAGTTGTGGAAGCACACGTCCCACATGATTTTTGAATCTTGCAAACAGACTTTCATCAATTTCAAAAGTGGTGTTCTCTCCGCCGGCGCTGATCACTGCAGCAGGATTCATTAATTATTAATATATTGGCACAAAACTCCCATCAGTAGTTGCTCCATTCCACAGTCGTAGTTGGCGACATGCTCAGCTCTACTTGGCAAAATTGAATGCTGGTTCATCCCTTGAGACCAGCAGTATATAAACAGAATGATCTGTCTTTATAATAGCCGGCCGCGACCCACTGACCCTTCCAGCCATGCAATAACACGATCTCATTTGGAGCGCGGTTGTTTCTAACAACGTACGGCAACTGCTGGAACAAGACGGAAGTGCGCAGTAGTAAATAATGATTGATGTAGACTGCTGCTGCAACAAGACAGGGTGGCAAAAACATGTGATAAGAGGCGCAAAGCGTGCACGTCTTTTGCGACGTGTTCTAGAAATGGGAAAAACCCCAACCTTACCACCCTGGGAATTATTTGACTGTCTCCCGTGACGTCATGGGGTAAGTAAAAAAATATAGTACCTTCAGCTCTATTGTCAAATCGGTACTGCTGTATGGAACTAAACTATGGAGAAAAACTATAACAGTTACTAATAAACTACAGACATTTATTAACTCGTGCATGCGCAGAAAATATGGATTTTAATGATATGGTAGAATCACTAATGTTGGGCTTTGGGAGAGGGCTAAACAGATTCCAGTGTATCAAGAGGGGAAGAAAAGATGCTGGCATTGGATAGGACCCTGTTGAGAAATCCTGAGGACAGTATAACTAGAAGGGCTTCATACTGGAACCTACATGAGCATAGAAGTAAAGGAAGGCTAAAAATGCACTTGAAAAAAGGAAATGGAGAGCGAAGTTAAAAAATGGGAAGGACTTATAGTGAGCTGCATGCAGTAAGAAAAGATAAGATGACCAGTGAGTTGTTTGAGAGCCTATGCTCCACTGAGTTGATAAAGGTAGAAAAAAAAAAGTTAAATGGGAACTGTTGAATTACATTTATCTAGATTCTTCTCCCAGCAGCATTTTTTTGTTTTTGTTTATCATCACAGCTCTGCTTTTATAATTAACCAATTTGAGAATACCTTGGACTGTCAGAATAACCAACACTGAATGCCTGGAAGTGGCTAATGAAAGTAGAACATTATATACAACAATGAGGAGGAGACAAACAAAGTATTTGGTCAGGTGAAAATATTGTGACGACTGGACAAATCCCTGGTAGAAGAGGCAGAGGTAGACCAGGAGAAATGATTGTGGATGTCTTAAGACAGTGGCATGGAGGAATATCATCCGTAGAATTGATCCAGAACACCAGAGACTGAGATCTGTGGTGACCCATGAACGCCTATGCCAGCTGGCAAGGCACTTGATGAATTGTTGAGAATAGTCTTACAATAAACATTTAAACCTGACAAAGATGCAAATAGTGGAGAGTGAGAACCAGCAAAACCCAAAATGTTTAAAACACCATTTATTACTGACATTATAAAAGCTATGGTTGGGAATTATATAGAAAATGAGGAATAACAGAGACAGACTATACAGAGAAGAGCTGAAAGCATATAACAGAGATAAAATATACACAAAAGAGTTTAATGGGAGTGGACATGAGGCAGACCATGTGAAGATAATATACATGCAGACCTAGAAACACTTTGAGTCACCAACTGACGGAGAAGGCCAATCACAGAGATGAATAGGTGCGGGTGAAATCTGCAGCAGTGAAGCTCAAGGGCTCAAAATGCT